TGTGTGTGTGTGTGTGTGTGTGTGTGTGTGTGTGTGTGTGTGTGTGTTAGAACGTAGACTCTAAAAGTCCACACATGTCCTGGAAACACTCAACCACCTGGTGATCTTTAACGCAGCTTCCAGTCATGAAAACATCCCTGATAATGACATAGAATATTAAATGTCAGAAAAAAACATAAACTTCATTTTACATGCAACTAAATTATAATCACTTCAGCTGGAATTGGATGTAAATTGAGGGACGAGGTTAAGCCGAAATTTTTTTCCAGTATGATTATCTTTGCCAAAGTTTTCTCTGTTTGCAATATTGCCTTGATAAATACTGGAATAGGATTAAATTCTATACTGTAAAAAGCATTAATCTAAACCATTCTTAAACAAAGTCCTCTCCTGCACCGTCTACTTTAAATAGACTAAATACTCTGAACAGCTGTTTGGCACATTGATGTGCAAACAACAGTGGAATTTTCCTCTTTGCAACACACAGACCTTCTCTTCCAGGAGGAAAAAGAAGTGGGCTGCCAGAACTTGTTAGTGTCCACTTACCATCCTGACGCATCTCACCCTGAGCGAGGCCAAGACAGAGGTCACCTCTTATTCAAGAGTGTTTCCAGAGCCGGCTAAGCTCTTTCTCCTACAGAGAGAGTGATGTCTCAAGTTTTCTAAATTAGTAAATATGTTCTCCAATCCCTGCCTTCCACCTCACAGGTGTTTAGCCCACAGGCCGAGGCAATGACCCCATGTTTATTCCCCCCTCCAGTCCTGGCTCTAGAACTCCTCCTGAAATCCGTTTCCCTGATTTTGGATCACTTCAACATTTAGAACAAATTATACAATTGATGCCGCAGCCAATTTTTCTGGCACATTGGAATTACCTCAATATTTGTGTTCTCCTGTTTACAGCACTGGAATATTGTTACGTCAATGTAACTGGTGACCTTTGTAATATTAACATTTTAACCTTTTGTATTTCTTTTTAGCTAAAGACTTTATAGTCCACCTGATGCAGAAAGACCCCAACACACGATACACCTGTGATCAGGCTCTGCAGCACCCCTGGTACTGGTCCTATACTCCTCTAACACGATGCACTCATTCTGTCGTCTAGTTAAAACCTTGATACTCAAGCTACAGTGATTTACTTGTTTTAACTAATCGAGTTGAGAATATCATGGAGCCCTTAGTGCTTACAAAATTCTAATTGTGGCTGTACATGTGACTGCTATCTATAGCACACACACTCTTATGTTTCCTTAATCATCTGTTTGTCAGGATTGCTGGGGATACTGCTTTGGAAAAGAACATCCACGAGTCTGTCAGTGCTCAGATCAAGAAGAATTTTGCTAAGAGCAAGTGGAAGGTAAGTCGGACTTCCAGTTTATCTTGGATTTTCTTACATGCATGATTCATGCCATGTGATCTTTTTTTTTTTACCTTTTAGTGTGCATTGAGAGTATATGGTTTTGCTACAATAAAAAGTGTGGTCTTGGTCTGAACTTTAAGAATAACTCCTTTTTAATTGTATCTTTTGGGAATGGAACGTGTTTGAATTACTAGACACATTAAAGATTTGGGACTGCAACAAATCTCATGGGCAGTGGTTTCAAACCTGGGTGTCAAGGCCCCCTTAAGGGTTACGAGATAAATCCATGAAGTCTTGAGATGATTACCAGTGTGGGAAATAAGAAAAATGTTGCTTCCCTAGATTTTAGTTAATTGTTTAAGCTTTTCTTTAACCTTCTCTTATTTCTAGTCAGATACTGTACTGTTAACCCTTGCGTCCTCTGAAAACTACCAATCTAACTAAAATGGAAGTAGTCTCTGTATGCATGTCTGTCGTAAGTAATCATCCGATTGACTTCACACTTGGTGGGTGTGTGTTGCTGAGGAATGGAGGATTTACTGAGCGAAGAGCTCAAAAGATATTCAAAAACACAACCTGCTCCAGCCACAGCCTGTTAACCTGCTGCCGTATGGTAGCGATACAGAAGTATCCGCTGTTGCATCCCCAGACTACAGAGCAGCTTGTTTCCTCAGGCGGTGAGACTCATCAACTCATCTTCCACACACAACCATAAAAAAAAGTTTTGCTTTGGTTTTTCTAACGGAGCATAAAGGGACTACAACTGATTTTTGTTGCGTAACCCTGTTTCCTACAATGACAGTAAATTAACCTTGAACCATGATTAAGCAGAACATGTCAGGAACCACTGCTTTAGACTGCTGTTGGTCAACTTTCAGGTGCAGATGAATGAGATGTTGTGGTTTTCTGGCTTATATTGCCTTTGCGTCTTTTCCACTGCAGCAAGCATTCAACGCCACAGCAGTGGTCCGTCACATGAGGCGTCTCCAGCTGGGCACCAGTAACGAGGGACCCAACCCCACTCTGCCAGAGGAAGATGCAGGTACCATCTGTGGTTTAGTTACTAGTGCTGCTACCATTGAGTCATTTTTTATCTCACACGCACTGTAGCCATTCACCGGGGGAAATGTTTGACTGCAGCTGTTATCATTTCTAGTACAACGTATTTATTAGATTAAAGAAAAAACAGGGACAGAACTGAGTACGTCCTTTTGCTCTCTCAGAGGCTTGCGAGGGAGGGTGCTCCCAGAACGTCGATGGCGGAGCTGAACCCAGGTCCAACTGCACCTTTCGCTGCCACCCGACCAGCAGGGTGTGATCCCTGCACCTGCTCCACTTACTTGCCTGATCAACCCCAGCGACTTTCCAATTTGAACCCCCTCGGTGGAACTGGTGACACCATCTCCCCCCTTATCTGGTTAGGAATACAGCGTAATTCCAACCTTACGCCTGCAGGGGGGGGGGCAAGCCTGTCCAGCCTGAGAGGGAAGACCTGAAATGGGATTAAAGGAGGAGGAGTAGGGAGACTTGAGGATAATAATGCACCAAAGGATTACTTTTACAGACTGGGCTGGTAGTTTGGGATAAGATGAAATGGGGAGAAGATACATTGGAAGGAGCATGTCAGGGGGATTGTTTTTGCAGAAGCAGGACAGAACTTGTTGGACAGTGTTTTTACTCATGATTTTTGCTTCAACTTGTCTCTCTGTTTGTTTTATTGTTTTATATATTTCTCTGTTGTCTTTTTAACCTCCTGCTGTGGAGTGCAAACCCAGAGACAATATCTGCATGATCAGGAGAGAGTTCCCCCCTCGCATGTTTTGCTATCTTAGAAATATATCTTGTTGCAGAAATGCAGTATCGCAGTACAATGCAAACAATGGAGTGTTGTATGCAAAGTTGTTTAAGGAGGAAAAGCATAGAGCATTTTGCTATGTTGCAGTATTTGAAATGAAATTGAGTCAAATCTTCTGCATTCTATGTCTTTTAAGTCGTGCTTTTAGACAATCAGTACAGAATAGTTTATGCAATGAAAAATCCATCTATCTACTATAGCCTTTCTTGAGGCAATGTAGTGTTTCCATGCAGCAATTCGGATTTTTTAAAGGCTTCTCTTTTCTTGACCCAGAACCCCTTTAACCACTCGCACAGGGATATATCTTTCTCTAAGGTGCCTTTAGGATGATGAGTTTAACTTTGGGTGGCATCTGAAATTCTTTGTCTGTTTCTTGAAGCACAGACTTTTGTATGCATCACATTTTATGCTTTGAAATTGAATTCATTCTTTTTGTCTCAAATTTGAGTATTGTAATCTCAGATGGCAGGCCTGCGTACATACTGTACACTGCCATTATTGTCTAAGGGAAAATAACATCAATATGAAACAATCATATTGTCGAAACATTTCTGGCAAGCTTCTTTTTTTTTTTAAATCCCTTAAATAGATGTTTTTCAGAAATATTTATATTTTGCCAACTCCCTTAATGATGCAGATTAAAGTACTGTGTTCATTTATATCAGTACAAATCCTATGGTACATTTTGTGCAAAAAAAATTGTTTTTTCAAAAGTGATCAGTGTGCTTAGTCATACTCAAGACTAGGCTGCCTTTGAAGGATTAAGTAGGCTGTGTCAAAGCAAAAAGTCTAAACAAAAACTGCAACCAAAATTGAATATGCATCTGTCACTGTAAGTGTACCATCCCTCTCTTCTTATATTCTTTTACCGGCACATTTCCTCCACATGCAGCCTGTTTAGAAAGGAAATCTGGATTAAAGAATGTGAATATGCATCAGATTGACTTACTTCATCTTTACTGTCCATCATCTGTGTTTTTTATGTTTGTATGTGCATGAAGAGTACGTACTCTGTATTCATTTTATTCATCCTCCTCTTTTCTTTTCTTTTTTTTTTTTTTTTTAAACTTGCATAGACAAACTTATAGCAGTGTTGGCTCTTTTACAATTTCATTTGTTCAGAGGAAAATGGTGTTGGGTATCAGATGTAGAGGAGCTAAATGTACATTTGTTCGAATCCTCTGTTCTTTATTTTGGGGCCTGATACAGTCAGGAGCTGAGGGACTGTCCTGCTGAGATCTTCCACCAACATGAGCTTCATCCATCCCCTGATCGCTCCGTCCTGTCCTTGACAGGATCGCAGTTTCATTTGAACCGTTTCATTCTCTCTCTGACACTTATAGACATTTGGTACCGATGTGATTTGCATGATGTGGCTTGAACTTGTCAATACCATGATCAAGAATGAATAGTGTGTACACTACTAGTACAGATGTAACAGTTGCCATGAGATGAGAGCTTTGAAAAGGACATATTTTTGTCAAGTTTTACACTTTTAACAAGTTCAGAATTATCTTCAAAAGTTTGTCAAGCAGATGAGTAAAGAGCAACACAAGTTGTATTAATGTTTCAAAAAGGTCAAAACAAGTTCAATGTGCTGCTTAAAAAAAAGTTCTGGCTTTCTCCTGCATTAATATTGGATCGACGTTGTCATGTATTTGGACGGTAATGTAACTGGTGACTCCGAACTGTAAAGCATAGTTAAAAGAGTGATTTACTCCTCTGGGATGTTCAGTGTGAATTGTTTGTACTTCATAAATTACTGTGACAGAGGAAGACCCAAACCAGCACAGTAAAGCTGAGTCATGGATGTGGTTGTTGTCTTTGATAAGTTGGCAGACTTTGATAAGTCTGCCAACTTATCAAAGTTGGCAGACTGACAATATCACAATTGATCTCCTTCATAATAAAACAATTCTGCTCATTTTGACATATAGCCACAAACACTGTCATTAATTCCCAGCAGTGCGATTTAGCTTCTGTAATTTACCTGCTAATGATTATTAATTTTATCAATTATAAAGATTTACATGCTTCAGCTCCTTTTGGTTCAGCATACTCAATCCCAAGAGTACTGAAATTTAAATGGTTCTCAACAAACCCTGAACCAAAAATGAATTTTAAAGAATAATCCACTGATTTGTGTTAAGATTTCTCCTTTGATCGCTCACTAACCGCTTGTAATGAAAGACCAATGTGTGATAAGATTTGTTGTATGAGGATTTGTACCATTAATATGTTGCCTTTAAGAAATGCTGTTTGGGGCTACAGTAACCTGTATACGCAGATGCAATGCATCATGGGTTGTTGAAAAGTGACTACTGCTCAGTGTGAAAGCCAGTGACTTGTGCTTAAAACTGATTTGTAAGTGAAACATGCATTAAAATACCTGTCTATGCATTATGAATCTGTCTGAGTCCATTTTTATTTGTAAAAAATACATTTTGTAAGCTTATATTTCATGTCACATACATGTTCACCGGGCTTATTTCTGGAACACAATGATATTAAGCTTATGTATTATTTTTGCACGAGCAGGAAATAATGCGACCAATACTGTCGTGACATATAGATAGGATGGCATGCCTGTCTTTATGCAATAATACCAAATATGTTTTTTTTTATTTTTCAACAAAAAGGAATTTACATAGACTTTACATAAAAAAGGGGAAATCATAAACAAAATGTGTCCTTTTAGCTTTTCACTTACTGTTAATTATTACCTTTAAACTAATTAATGAATAAAGAAAAAATAAATAAATGATCGAACATATATTATATCAAACATATACGGTTTAAAAATGTCACACCAAATCGTGAATGCCACTAAATTACCAAGATGTTAGTTTGCCAAAATGTGTCGAACTATAAAGTAAGGAATCATCTCTGTTTGTGTGTGTATTGCTGGGAGTGCTTTATCGAATTTGGTACAAGTTGGACACGCAACATGTTCAATATTAATAAACTTTGAATAAACAACTGACCACAGCTCTGAGCAGCGGGGGGGAGGTTCACGGCTCTGCAGAGTCCAGCATGTCGTCTCAGCGGGCAGACAGATACTCATTAACTGTGTTTAACTGCTGGATATATTCAACTTTACATGAATGCTGTATAACTAACGTTAACCAGTGAAAGTGGGTAAGCCATTACTTGGGTGTGTTGGCGTATGACTTGATACTAAACATCAATAAAGTTATCGCCAGCAAAATACCTCCGCCAAATAAATCCATACGCTCCTTTATAATTGTGATGTTTATGTAAAGACAAGAGATTAATATACCTATTCAGAAATGACATCGCTGAGTATTTCACTCGTGTTTCTGACCGTGAGTAACCCCAACCTGGGTGTTTTTTAGGGCCCCCCTTTCTCTAACTGGGAATGTTTTTGAAAGTGGCAGTTGTAGAAAAAGAGAATACTCAAAACCTTTTTTCTGAGGTAAATCTATTATTAGTAAAACTATTAATACCAAATATAAAAGTCCTATATTCAAATGTTTACGTCAAGTGAAGCATGACAGAGATATTATCTGCACAATGTACTTAAACTTCAAGGTGGAGCTTTCAATTCCAATATGATGCTCGATAGTTTGATGACTCATGATTCATCATATTATAAATGTTATATTTTGTTAGTCCAATCTGGATCTGCATTGTAACCATAAAGTAGGTAAACCAACATATCCCTGTCAGGTAAATGTAGTAGCTTAAAATGTTTCCCTCTGAAGTAGAAGTACACAGTAAGTAGTATGCAGTGAGTTGCATATTTGTAAGTGCTTTGGGGGCCTTTTGTAAGCTAGCTGGGGCAAGCTCCTATCTTAAACTTGCTTAATCTCTGTAACTGCACATTTAGCATGTTGTTTTCTTTGAAAATATATTTATACGGCGTCATAAACATTTTATGTGACAAAATAACTAAATATAGTTGTGTCTTTGTTGGCAGAATAGTGTCATGATAGGTTTTTTTAAAGTTACTCACATCCTTTGTCAGAAACAAGAAACCAGCAAGAAAAGTTATGATAATAATACAATAGCAGTGATACTTTTCTTATAGGTGAAATTCTGCAACTGTTGCTCTCATGAAATAGTTTTGTGGCTTGCAAGGTTTGTCATGAATGTTAATTTCATAGTCTGCTACATGAGGCCCCTCTCGTCTCCGAGGAATACTGGGTAATTGAGGCTTGTGGTTTGGCTCTCTGGAGCGTTTGCGATGGAGGAGACCAGAGAGCTGATGGTCAACCTCATTCAGGAGACAGTAGACAGAGTAAACATTATGCGGCCAAACCAGCAACAAGAGACTGAATCAAAATAATAGGAAAGAAATTGCATGGATCACAACTTAGAGAGTGCTGAAAGATTCAAGCGCTGTTTAGATGTGGAATCGTGGAAAAAATTATAGAAACGTAGGTCTAAATAAACGATGGGACTAGAAGACATTGCTAAAGCTAACACATATCTTTAAGCCTGGGTTTAATTTCCTCCACAAGATGATACGTAAGAGCAGCACATTGATGAAGACTGTGCTCACTCCACATCTTCCTCCCATCATTTAGCAACGTTGCCCATGCTTGCATGGAATGTGAAATAGAGACTCGATAGAGAGAAACAAGCCAAGCCAAAAGGAGTATGACTGACTCACAACTTCATAATTTATGTAGTTGATTTATCGGAGCGGTGTAAGCACTTCAAACCTTCTGCTAACGAGCACTGTGTGCAAATTCCGAGTGTGACGAGAATTATGAATTTAGCTGCTACAAAGTCACAAAAACGTGAGCATACTGCAGGATCTTTGAGTGGTAAACAGGAACTGTCTTTTTGTTCTTTATTATTAGATAACCTTTATTCAGCCTTTTATACCTGACTGCTAACATCAACATGCTAACATGTTCAAAATGCCAATGCTAACATGCTGATGCTAAGCAGGTACAATGTTTGCCATGTTCACAATCTTGGTTTAGTGTGTTAGCGATGCTAACATTAGTACCAAACAGTAGCCTATAGCTGATGCCAAGGTTATTATAATTCATCCTGATAGGCACATGATTGTCTGTACCAAATCTCACGGCAATCCATCCAACAATTGTCAAGACATTTCATTTAAAACCCACAATGTCAACTTCATGGTGGAGCTAGAGGAAAAGTCAGACGACGTGTACAAAATTTCATGTCAGTCATACCGTTAGTTGTTGAGATATTTTAGTCTGGATCAAAGTGGTGGACCGACCGACAGACCAGCATTGCTATCCTTACTAGCAATGCCAAAAGGCCAAAGCACTGTTCTAACCAGCACTGCTGCTGTCTCACAGGTCCACAAACCTTTGTAACTCCCATCCAAGATGACCAACTATATATACTGATTATACTCTCTTTAAATCTCTTTATAACCCGGCATGATTCAAGGTTACCTGTTTCACCTTATGTCAAAGTGTTGAGTTAAGGTTTGAAATTAAATGTGTTGTGTGCACAGTGAAAGATCGAGCACACACTCTGCCCTCCTGTCTGTCAGCAGGAACCTATTGTGCTTCTGTCTGTCAGTGCTCTCAGGTGATTTATGTGCCTATTATATCCATGTTGTCCTTCAACATCACTACTGTCTTAGGTGTGGAGAGTTTTCACTAGTTGTTCAAGCTTTTCACTCTTTCTCCACTCTTTTTCCGGTCAGAAGTTATTTAAGTAATTATATGGTCAATATGTACTAGACTGGGCTTCTATGAGGCCCTTTGGGAAAATTAAAAGGGAATAGAAAAATCCAATCAATGGTTCTTTGGCCCATGACATAACTCAACAGCATATTTCCTTAAACTCTGAGTAGAAACAGACAAATAAACAAATGAAAACATAACCTTCCTGGCGGAGGTAACAACAAATTCAATGACACGTCTATTGATGTGCTGTTTATTTTCATATGACATAGGAGGACATTCACAGTTTAGTCTCATCATGCAGACACTGTGCAGTGTATGATGCCATATGAGAGACAAGACTAAGACTGTTATGTGTGTTTTGATTCAAAACAAAGGCGTGTTGCAAAAGAAGTTGATGTTTCGAAGGAACTTTTATTTTCTTTTGATAAGACCAAACTCTCTCACACACTCAAGCTAACACACACATCTTACAGACCGTGTGTTGGTCAGGCCAAGACACACACACACACACGCACACACACCACGGCACAAAGCCCTTTACCAACAATTTCCAAGTTCTTTGGGAAGATTTAGAGTGGCTTTATGAACAAAATACCAAACAGTCATATTTCCTACTACACCTAATCACTAAAATCTTTTCCTTATATCTCATTTGTACATTTGTTTTGGATGCAGCGTCAGATAGCTCAGAGGGTCTTGGCCAAATATTTTCTTTGGACCGAAACACCGAAAAACAGACAAAAACCATTAACGTTAAAATATTTTCCAGTTCCATTTCTCCTCGGTCCTTTGGCCTCACATTGTTGCTGAGTAGAAGCAGGCTGTTTTGAGCTTGAGCAAGTCAAAGTCCCTGAGGTGCTGGAGCACAGTGGAGGGAAAGAGACTTAACTACACAGTGAGATCACCCTCCTTCTTTTCACCCTGATGAGCGACGTGCAGTTTCTGAATAATTCACTTGCAGGGAATGACTCATTTTAGCCGATCTGAGTGGGAGAGACGATGTGAAAGTATTTCAAAGGCTAGCTCTTCAAAGTTTGTTCAAATCCAAAAAGATGTTCAGGGGTCTCTTTCTAAATAAACATGGATTGAGCTCTGAGCCTTCTCAGAGCATCAACCCTCAGAGTGCAACAGCTCCTGAAGCCAAAGCACCACAGTTTATGAAAAGTTGCAGACCCTCAAAGTCCTACATGACTGTAAACCACAGTTGGTAATAATAAACAGGATGGAGAGCAGAATGGAGGATATCTGGCAGTACGAGGAGAGTCACTCATTTTCCACTTTTGGAAAATTCAGCCTGCAATTAGGGTCAAAACATCGGCAGAAACTTGACATCCATCTTACTTGCATTAGTCATACATTTGATACTGGCCTGTGCTGCGAGTTAACTCCGACTCAGACGACACAGCAGGCAGATGAAAAGGAAACACACCGCCAGAAAAAAAAAAATAAAATCATGAAAGAGTGTTGTTTCCACACCTTTGACCGTCTAGAATGGGATTTGACAGATTTGTGTGGGGACAAAGGATCAAAGGAAACATCAGACAGGATGCAGAGTGGAATTCTGGGTCATCTCATTGGGGGTCAACGTCGCTGAGGACTCCAGCAGAGAATGTGTGAAATGTGTGTGTCCATGTCAACGACTTTGTGATAATTCACTTTCATTCATTCATTCGTTCATGCACCATAATCATGTCACCAGTCCAACACACCAGCTACTTTCATTAGTATTTCTACATCTGTTCGCGTTTTCACAGATTTTTCTTTTTGTTTACATACTAAAAGCTTAAAATTGTCCACTTCTAAATGTCTTGGCCCCTAAACCCTCTATTTTAAACTGAGATTTTTTTACCACGACACAGATTCTGCTCCAGGTCTGTCCTTCCCTTTCTCAACAGAAACCAGCTTGAGAAAAAACACCCAAAACATCTTTGATTTAGTGAAGCCCTATCTACCAATCCTTTACACGCAAAACACACATGCTCACACACTGTGCATCCGCAGACTGCAGGACTGTGCTTTTTGAAACCTTATCTCGAGCAGTAATTTATCCTCAAATTAAATTGTACCAACATGCAAAGAGTGCTGTTGATCGACAGAGCAGCAAATTAAATCTGCTGTAACCTGCCCCGTGACTCATGTCAAATGGATCAATTTCAAAAATGTTTTTATTAAATAGTTGCCTCTCGCAGTCGAAAGACATGCAGGTGTGATTCATTCGTGAGATTGTCTGTAGGTGTGAATGGTTGTCTGTGATACACTGCCAACCCTTCCATGAGTGAACCCTTCTTCTCGTCCAATATATACTGGGATAGGCTCCACAGAGCCCTTCATTGAAAAATGAAGGCCTTAAGTTAATTCAGGGGTGTTGGGGGGGTATTGATGGAATCCTAAAACGTCTTGGTTGGCCAACAAGTGTTTTCTTGTTGTGTAACATTTTCTTCTCTATCTGCTTCACATGCAATAATTTGCTTTTGCTTTTCTGTCTGTCAAGAAACTGATACTGTACCTCAAACCTGCAAGAAGAGACTTTTTGAGGATATACATTTATATTTGATGGATATTCTGCAACAATTCACTCTCTATAAGCGGTTGAGCTTCATCACCTCACTGTAGGATCTGTCTGGCTCCACCACTGTTCCACCAACATCTTTCCATCTGATGATCTAGACTCTTCTGGTTTCACCATCAGCTTTGACTCAGCTAATGATACTAATGATCTGATTTGTAGCACTGACGTATACTGTACTCACATCTGAGATGCATGCAACACCGCAGTGTTTATCAAGATAGCAACATTAATCACCAGTAGCCCTGGTGAATTCACAAAGTACAACAGTCACCTCATGGCATGATACTATTCTCTCAAAACTATGCAAATACTTCATGCAGTCCAGAATGAAACACAGAAGAAAACTCAGATCCTGCACAATCACTCAAAAATGCTGTAAACATTCAGGGTGGAAAATACAGAAACATAAACCCAACATCCCAGAGTCTAACCATTAGATATAAAAACAGCTTGCCAGCGCTAACAACAAACACATGAAGTCAAATTCCTTCTGCTTGTCTGGTGGACTTTGTCAGCAACCCAGACGAAAAAAAGGAATAATTACAAGTGTAGGATAAAGGGAAAAAGAAGGGGGGGATCGGAAGAGGAGGGAGGTAAAGAAGTCGTTTTTTGTAAAAGTAAGAACAGCGGTTTACCTTTATGACAGAAGAACTAAACTAAATGCAAACATGCTTGGTACTATTGACAAATAATGTTTGTGTGTCACGGCCTTTAGTCAGAAACTGAGGACATGACAAATGGTTTCCCAGATTGAAAAAACAACAGTGAAATCCAAATTCTCAAGTGTGAACCATGACCTTTCTGGATGCCATAACTGGGCTGTGAAATTGAATCCGATGTTATGGTATTTTTGGCTCCACAAAATACTGCATTTCCCTCCCTGGAGTGTCAAGATTGAGCTTATAGCACGGGTCTGAGACTAAAAGGTATTGTGATTGTAGTTTGACTGGAACAGCAGAGGTCTCTGAGGGAAAACACACACACACACACATCAGTCATTCGTATTGATACAGACGTGGACAGGCAACAATGAAAAATCACCTCCTCCTCGCCTGAGTACAGTTGGTGAAGTGTGAAGAGATGCTGAGGAAGCGTTTCCACTCAAATCAATGCCATGTTCACGGAGGTGCTGGGTAACTTTGTGAAGCAGGTGACAGAGTTGTAAGGAATATGCAAACTGACAGAGAGAAACTGTATTGCTGACTTGCACACAGGGGTGCAACATGATATCAAATTTCTTATTTTTGATATGAATTGCAGATTCTCGTGTTATTACATGTATGTGTCTCCTGGGGATGAATCCTGCTGACTTTGGTGATACCCTGACCTCTAGCGCCATCACTAGGTTGACATTTGTGGTCCAAAATGCCCCCCAACAAATTATCTTTAAAAGAATAAACAGAAATTGATTATCGGAAGAAAGAAAGAAGCAGAAGCGTTAGCATTTAGCTCAAAGCACCACTGTGCAGAGCCACTTGCATGGTTGTAGAGTCTTAGTCTTTTATTTCATGTAACAGGAATGACGAACTCCAAGTGAAGACCTAAGCAATTACCTAAACAAAAACAATGGAGTCAGTGGCAGGTTGGAGAGTTCAAAGTTAGAAAGCTCTCTGGTGGATTTCTTCATGCAGGGCGATGAATGACAGTCAGAGTGAAATACTCAAGTGTAACTGTTTGAGAAAACATGAACAGGAAGGGGGGTTAAAAGGGGAAAATATATACTGTATTAACTAATCAGATGCTCTGGGATTATCAATACAAAAATAAAAAGGAAACCAGAGCAGCCAGAGAAAGTAACTGCATTTGAAAACACAAAACAAGGCTAGATAAATAAACCATGTCCACAGATAGCCAGGTCCTCTGGAAGGGACCACCACTGTGCCGTCGTATTGCCTGACATCTGTTTTGCAGCTTGGCTTCAGAAAGCAGTGTGTGTATATCATCTTTGGCCCAGGTCCATGGGATTTTGACAGTTGGCTGCAGGCGAGCTTGTCTGATGAAAAGGTTTCACGGGGAGAAGAATGAGCTAACGGGGAGACAAGAGGAGAAGGTGTTCTCTGCAACACTTTCTGTCTTTGCTCAAGAGGTCAAATGATGCGCGAATGGAAAGCTCGTCAATGTCCGCTTTACTGCAGATAAATCCATCGAGAGTTACTGACATAAAACATGTTTGAAATGTGCCCTTTTTTGTTTCTCCTCATGCCATGCCAGCCCCGCCTCTCGTTCCCTCTCTTTTATACAACACCACCATATGGAAGAAATTTGGTTCAGCTTGTGTTGAAAATTTCATCTGCCAAGATGATTTTGCGTCTCAAATGGTCCTTTGTTTTCTCTGAAAGTGCACCGGACGTAAAACTGGACAAAAGCTTAAGAAGAAGAGGTCAAAATAGGGCCAATTCATCTTTAGGATTTATGTTGCTATTAAATTTGCAGCACTTCTTTGAGAACTTGATTTACTGAATCACACTAAAGACACTGTGCATGCCAAAAAGCATGTATATCATTTCTGACTTGAATACATGGAAAGCAGGAAACGTTACAATTGATGTTAGAAACTTTTAGTTGAATTCATTTTGTTCTGGTGTTTGGCTAGACACGTTTATTAAAAAACTCAGCCAAGAAACTGGTCCAAATTGTTACGTGAAACTGTAGCTGATCTGGAAAAGTCAATGAGGCAAAACATACACCATAAAAAAAGAAGTAAGAAGAAAACACCCAGACTACAATCGACATTTCTAGATTGAGTTTCATCCCTTTTCCCACTGTGGGATCCCGGTTGTGCACAGGAAACTACTTCAACAACTTTACACAATATTGTCTTTTATTGCTTTATTTATAAATTGATAGCTTAATTAAATTAGATGTCATAATGACTGGAGGAGGCTCTAATCTGTGGATGTATGTTATACCAAAATAGTGAATAGTGAAAATAGTGAAAAGTAACATACAGTACATATGAAGCTCTAGCCTAAGTTCAGTCAGGAAGACTCTTGCATGCCTAAACCCGTAGTTTATTTCTCATACATCTGCCATTCACTCCTCATGCATGCTCACTCACTATTTCCGTGCTGTCATCGTTCGGGGGCTGTCAATCATGATATCAGCTGTTTAGATCAGCTGGTCTCCTCTATCCAACAGCACAACAAAACAATTACAAAGTTAGCCTATCATCTTGCTGCCGTGTCTTTTTAAATATGATTGTCTCTCTACCTGCAGTACGTTCATGCTGCTGTTACGCACCCCTCCACCTCCCCATCTCCGCCTAGTCTTCGTCACAGATCCATCAGCTTCATCAGCTCATCATTCTATCAGCCTCATCAGCCACCACTACCACCAGTGTCTGGACTCCACGGGGGGTTTTATCTTGCTGCTGCTCAGGGCAGACGTGCCTCGATTACAAATCTCCCTCTAGAGTCCAAGCGCCAAAGACTCTGTCAAGAATTTATCATCACATATCAACTGTAAATAATAAACTATTATCTTTTCTTCATCTAAGTGGTCTCTCCTGATTGAAATGCATGTTATGAAGACGACATCAACTGTGATGATTAAAAACAACCACATGAGATGTTTGGTCAATTTGTATTAATTTATTTGTAATTAAACAATACAGTAGCTGTTAAACAAATGAGTATGCCATTGGCAAAGCAAACCATATGTAGTTTCGGGAAAGCAACAATTGTAATAAAAGCAAATACATAAAATATAACAAATGCAAAACTTTAATTTCTGACACAGAAAAAGCCAATCCTGTACCATGCCAGGCTCACTGGCTGGACTTAATGAATGCTCAGCACTCTGCTTTCAAATACAAAAATTACACTTTCATTCAGTACAATGCGTTTGAACATACTTATATAAAGGTAGACGGTGGGGTGGGGTGGGTGGGGGTTGGGGGGGAAGGCACTCTTGGGAAACAATTCACTGATTTTAAAGGATCATAGTTTTTGGGTATCAATAGATACAAGTAAATGAAAAGCAGGCAAAGGTAGAAAATACTGATTTAACATATTGTTCGGTCTTGCAGCTTTGTAAACTTTGGCACTGCTAATTATACGCTCATTTACACAGTCGAAACATTATGAGAAAGACGAGACATGTTAATATCCCTTCATGTCCAAGAGTTGACCCACAAAAGACGCAGGTTGATTTGGAGAATTTTGATGATAGTATTTCTGAAGTAACAAACTAATTATAATATTCATGCAATGCACAATGTGTCCAGCACAGAAAGAAACAAGATATTAAATGTGCAATGCTTTAACATTGTCCAGATATTGTTCAACAGTGCATCCGCCAGCTGAGAGCTCTGTCCAGAATTAAGCTAACAAAAGACAAAGGTAAAAGTTATTCAGAGAAACCAATCATAATGGGGTGAAACAAGAGTTGAGGAGATCAGGATGGAGATCTCTTACCCCTGTGGAACCATTTAAATCCTTTATCTCCATTAATCCTTCCCTCTAGTTCATCTGGGAACACAAACTAGGTGACTAAGTGAAAGCCCTGTGTATCCGTAAATAAGTATTTTAATTGGGTTGAAGACATGGAGAATGTAATTACATTGTGTTACTCTAAATTGGCCAGCACTGTTATTTGTAGTCTAGTTTTTTAGCGTCCTGGAGGGGACCTTTTTCAGGCGCTGATTCCTCTGGTCCAGGGCAGTGTCCTGATCGGGGTGAGTTTGGGGCGTCTTTGACTTGTAGAGCTGTTTGAGGCTGAGGGTCTGCTGCTCCTTCGTTGTCTCTCGTTGGGCCTGGCGTAGCAGACGTTTCATGGTCTTCACCTTTTCCCTCAGGTGGTCATTGGTTTTCTCCAAGGAGCGCACCTTCTGGGAGAGAGTCCAGACCCTCTCCTCCTCCTCAAACAGAGCCTTCTGCACCGCGGAGCACAACAACTGAAATATGAGGGAAAGTGAGAGGGGTATTTGAATAAGCGGACTGTGGTCAAATGCGATTAACTGTGACTCATTTGAACACTGAACTGTCAAATCATTGATCAATTACTTTCAGGTTACTTGTTCGAGGAAGGCCAGTATCAGATTATGTACTGTGAGATATCCAACAGATTTTCATCTCGCTCTTCCTTTTCAATTAAATCATATACTTATCCCATAACTAAATAATAGTGTCAGATTTAGTATGTTTATGACACATTTATGATGCAGCACCTGACAGATAATACTATTCATTTTTATGCTGGATTTCTTTCAGATAAGTCATATGAGAGAACACATCTGGCATGCTCTTTGGGCAGACAACCATGGTGCCAACAGCTCGTAAGTCTTTTAGCATTGTTTGTGTATGAGTGAGTTAAAGAAAGAAAAGAAAGATTTTGGCTGCTTGGAGCCTAAAAAGAAAAAGAAAAGGGAAGTGAAAAAGGATAGGAGATGAATTATTAAGTATGTTTGAAATCATACCTTTCTTGCAATGGGGTAATTCATAGAAACACTTTAAGTGTTACCATACTGCATGCCCTAATCTTTATGTACCAGCCAATTTACATAAGCCAAAGAAAACACACAATGTTGATTCAGGTAGGGTCCAAGAGGACTTTGAGCTAAAATGGTTGCACAAGATGCTCCCTCTGTTTCAGCAGTACATCACTGCAAGATGAAACCCAACATGCCTGCAAACCTGTGACAGAGGATCCAAAGGGCCGGACCTTTTCCTCGGTGACAAAATGAGCTCTAGCTGCCTCTGACTGCATGCCTGTCTGCCTGAGTGTGGATTTCCTCCACAGATTCTAATGTTTCCAAATGGGACCAGTGTGAAACGCTGATGTATATTCCCTGCCATCAGATAACAACCGCTGAGGCTTTTGAGGAAATGTTAAAAATGTGCGGCTGGCTGCCGGCCCACATCCCTGCTTAGTGCATTACCTGCTGTAGTATTCGCTGCGGATATTTCCCATGTGCTCTTACTTATGTCCCGTAAGGGATTTGAAAGGGGTATGAAACTTTATAGTGCAAAAGATGAAGTTCAGGAGCAGAACAATCAAGTTTTGTAAAGCAGGAGGTGTCAAATGGCACATCACTGTCTTTCTGTGCACCCAGGTTTAACTTTCACTCAAACACAAAACGCCTTCAGTTGGTTCGTATGTCAAGGATTACAGTGTTTTAGGCTAAGCTGCAGTGTGGACAAATACTTTGCTAATTGTCCTTGAAAAAGTCTGGAGTCAAGACTGAGACACATACAATACAAACCTGCCTCTGTGTGGAAGACAGATTTTGTTCATGATAAGCTTTTATGTTTTATCAATGTGACACTTTAAGCCAGGAGACAAGAAAGGTACAGTTGTTGTATTATACCCTTGTGTAATGTAGAGGTAATAATAAACACTTTCTTGCACCACATGTCTGGGATAGAGCTTGATAAAGAAGCTAATTACAGTTACATTGAGACATAGAATATTAGCAACAGACATAGTCCTAAACAGACAGAATAGTAGACAATAAAGCAGATGTATCAGGCTCAATTAAAGCAGTTATATATGTAGACCACAGCACTTACAGGAAAAGCACTCTCTCCTACATTAGTTCTGATATATTGTTTCATAAGCATTAATCAATCATTAGGGCAGGTTAAGTACGGGCCAGAGTTCCAGAGCAGCAAAGATGAGATATGACATAGCGAGTCTCCAACAAGTGTTTTGTAGATAAATGTAGACCAGAGGTTATTACATCTCTCAGTCAGGGAAGAAAAGGGATCTTATTTATCATATGCAATGCAGCAGTCAGTATTTAAATTGCCTCTGGTCATAAACTGAAGAGTGATAGTTTTAAAATAGTCTAAGAAATATCGATGAACACAGTCATATATACTGTATATATATATATATATATATGAATCATATCTCCATAATGCTTCATACAACTTATGGGGAAGCATTGTTTTTATGTTTCTGTACAAAACGTTAAGCTTCTGTTACAGTTTACCAACAAGATTTTTGATGTGACTTTTAAATGTAAATTTGTCAAGATATTTGCTTTTTCTCAATATTAAAGAGTGTGAAAGAAGGTATACCTCTGGACCTCATAAACAAAATACATTTTGTATTATTTGCACTACTGATATAGGCTAATGTAATAATTAAGAGCAGTGTATGAAAAGAGAATTGTTATATCTTAGTGGTTGATAGGTTGAGAGCGTCCCATTCTCACCCCCAACTTGTCAAATTGGTCAGTGGTCTCAGGCATCAAACTCACGCTATGTGGCCGTAGTTATGACGGGAGGGTTACGTTACACAGAATACAGAGTGATAAAGTTTGCATAGGGAGGAGGTTCAGGTGAAACTGATGCTAGAGAGGTACCTAGAGCATCATAGGTTGAAGCTTAGGGCCAACGTCAGTATTTGACGAGTTGGGGGTGACAATTTGTTGTTTCATCTAGTCTGATATCATCCAAACTCAACTGCAACATGGACAAAACAAAAGGGTTTGTGTTTTATGCAAGACTGAATCCTCTCTAAGTGCCCTCTCAGGGAAGCCATGATTGACATCAGAGGAAAAACTGACACATTTTCTAGTTGGACCATGTTAACTGAAGCTGAAATTTTTAACTTTTTTTATTACAATCATCATTTTACATACATAAAACCTGACCTCTGCATTTTACCCATCCTAAGCATATTTTAGGAGCAGTGGGCTGCTGAGATGCTGGGGAACTATGCGAATAGTAGCAGCCGGGGATCGAACCGCCAACCTTGTTGTTACAGTGGGGGCAGCGAACAGTTTTGCCTTGATATCCAGCCATCAGGTCAGGACAATGTTTGTAGCCCTTCAAAGGGCTACAAACCCTGCATTATACCTGCATTAGTGTGGGAAAATGATTGAAATTATGTTTTTATTGCTGATAGTATTTGGCGTTAAGCATCAAGAAGACTAAATGCAGTCTGATTTACTTTGAATGACACTTGATTACGTAATGCGTATGGCATTATCTGTTTTGCTGAGAGCTTAGGTCAGTTGTCTAAACAATGGTTGCACAATTCTTGTAAAAACAAAGTCTGTTATTATTTTGCGAGGAGGAAATCTAATCACGGGAACGATGTAAGAAAGCAGCAATGATATCTAAATGTTGCTCTGTAATTATAATCACAGGCCTGACCCAAAAGTTTGCAGTTAGTAGAAATACAAACCATGTTTTCATTCTCTTCACACATGGCGGATTTTCTGCTTTCATGAGTCAGTAAATGATTGGAAACAGACAGAAGACTGACCTAAATCAGTCGGATTAGGCCAAAGGTTTAGATTCATTAAAGAGGATAAAGCAGTGTTGAGTGACTTGAAACCATGTATATACTGACACATTGACTCTGGCACGAGATGCAAGAAACTTAAGAGTCAAGGAGCACCAGGTGTTAGTGTTTGCCAACGGTGTTTAGGTAAAAATTAGCTTTTATATATTAAACAGTGGAGCTGGTTAATTCAGGTAATTTTGCCATAAGCAAAAAGTCGTCTATCTGCATTGTCCTGTGTACTCCAGGAGCTATTTTATGATTCATTAACTTGTATGATGTATCCACTTTCTCTGGTTTTACTTTAGTTAGTGATTTTCTTTGTTTCCATAAATTCTTTTCAGTAATCCTCAGAGGATGGATATGTAATTGTTGCATTGATTATCTAAATTGAAGAAGTGGAGAGTTGTTTTTTCCAGTCCGAGGAAAAGTAATCTATGTCATCCTCTCTCCTTAATATTCATCACATCTTGTAGCTACGCTTGTGTTCTGTTTTACAAACGTTGCTGTTTAATCTGTGATGAATTTAAACTTGCTTAATTGTTGAACATCCACGTAAAAAACAGCACTTGGTATTTGATTCTGATGGACTGATACCAAAACCTGACTTTAGTGTTTTGTGAGTTATCAAAGACCATTGTAGTTTTACTGGATATGTCACCACGTGATGTCCCTCACTTCTTCATTAGAGCTGCCATCTTTGGCCATAAGAAAATACTCCATTAAACAATAAAATGGTTTGCCAAAGAGCTGGTATACAATGCTGTTTAAAGGAGATTTATCCTTTAAACATAGTGAGTTCTTTGCATAGCCAAAACCTCAGGAAATGTGTGTTTGATCTACCATGCATTTAGAACATATCTAAATTGCCAGCTTCATGGTATTCCTTTGAAAACAACAGGATGTAATATTGAATCCTTTTATGTGTGCGCCACAGTACTTTGGGCTATTGTGGCTCACTCCACTCTTTTTCCCAAACCATTTGTGTAGTCACCATAAATCCGCAGAAACTGATTCAAAGTAGATGTCCTTATTACTATCTCAAACAACACTCGGAACTAGTTTGTGGTGGTGATTCCAATGGGCTACATACCCGGCTGTCCTCCTGAGCCTCCCACTCCGGGGCATAGGTGTGGACCTGGGTACCAGACGTGCAGTTGGCAAACTGGAAAAGGCTGGCAAAAGCCCGGTGGTTCTCCGCGGTGTCAGGGAAAATGGGGTCCTGGAAGTTCACTCCATGAGGGATAATATTGTAGTTCTCATCCATCCTGCATGGAAGAAAAGGAGGATTGTATTCATGTAGTGGAGAACAACAGCAAAAATGAACATATGGTAAAATGTTGTGCATGTGTAAAAACAGAAGCAGATGCAGATGCACATAGACAAAAGCCGTGAGCAACGAGAATATGTTATACTTAATCTTCATGTCATCAGGATTTCAAATTGAAGCAAACTAAAAGGTTTTACCTATTCATCCTATAAAGTTGATATAAAGTTGACAGACATATGTCCATAGTAAAAAAAAGAGAAAAGTGAACTATATACAGAACTGTTTACAGTCCTTGGTATATTTTTATGCAAATTCAACTATTATATGGATGATTCAAGCCAGCAAACTACAAGCCAAAGGGGTTTACTGTGCATGTTTCATATCTTCTCCTACGACATGAAGTGTGTGAGGGAGGAAGTCCTGAAGCAGCGTGTTTCCATACATCTGGATTTCATCTCGCATCCCTCGAGGGACATCAAAAGTTTGGCTGTCCCTCAGTGACTGTGTGTTTGTGGGTGTTTGTGTGGGTGTGTGTGCATGTTGAGAGAGCACAAAGAAAGCTGATGTTTTGCTTCAACAGAAGAGGTCAAGGGTCAGTTGTAAGCACAGTGACCAGGAGGTCAGAAGGAATTGTGGATCCAGAGGAACTTGATGTAAACATAACTGAAAAATAATCGTGACCTAAAACTTACATGTCTATATTATTTAAAAGTCCTGAGGGAGATCCAGAGCTGCATTTTTCTCCAAGCTAGCCTCAGATTTGTCCTGTCCTGGGAGCTTATGCTCATGATTGATTGGCAAGACTATTCTGGTCTGAGATAAGTGTTGTTGGGGCTTTTACAACAGGAAATAGGCATTCACTGGAGACAGCGATGAGAACTTTTTAGTTTTGGCTTGCTCGTACAGCGTCTGAGACTGCGGCGCAGCCACAACAACACTCCTATTAAACTCCACACTGATCCATTTTAGGTTTTTGACGGAGAATTTCACATTAGCGAGAATGCTACATGCGAAGATAAATTGTTATATCTAATTTCTTAAAATGTTCATGAAAGTTGACATCTAATCTGAATAGTGATACATCTCTACAAGGTTCAATACCAGTAGCTCAATGAAAATTTGAAAGAATAAATGTTCAGATATTTAAGGAAATACTTTCATTTGCTTTTTTCAAGACGTAGATGAGAAGATTGATATCATTCCCATGTATAGTAAGGAAGAGTGAAATTGGTAGGTGTTGGAATATCAGGGGAAGCCAATCAGAGGCAGAGTAGGGCGGCTTATGCCATCGGCATCCTTGTAAAAAAAATATTGCTTAAATACGAGGCTTAAACTAGCAGGCGGATTAGCTTAGCTTAGCATAAAGACTGGAAATAGCCGAAACACCTAGCCTGGCTCTGCCGAGAAGTTACAAAATCTGTCTACCAGCACCTCTAAAGCTCATAGAGCGCTGCAGGAATGAGTCCTGAAACCCGGATATGAGTTAGCATTTTTGCACTTCCGGGTTCCCTCATATCAAAGTCAATGGGTGTTGTTTTTTATGTGTTTTTGTTCAGATGCCTGAAATAAGGTATGTAGTTAACACAAGCTTAAGAGATTTAGTTTGTTCTACGATATAAAATACCTCAACAAATAACCCTCTCATTAATTTGGAAGCTTTTTAGTGTTTTTTTAAAAAGGCAGTTGCTAGGTGGCTTAATGAGAAAACCAAACGTCATCACTCCATCTAGTCTGCCTTTACTTCCTCTTTGTGTTTACTCATGCTCATGCTGTAGTTTGTTTGTATCCTCATATTACCTTTTTTCTTCTGGCGATTGCAGTCAGGCATCAAAAATCCTAAAAGTTGTGTTTATTTGTGAGGATTATCTTGCTGAACTGAATGTTGAAGTATAATAAACGTGTGTTTACAAAAGAGCTTATTTTCTGCAAAAATCCAAAATCTATTGGAAAAACCCCTTTGACTTTTGGTCGAGAAAACCAGTGCGATGCTAACTTCCAGTTTGGCCTTCAAAATACACTATTCCTGCATCACACTAGAAATATGTTATATCCCGTTTATTGAATCCGAACAGAAACTGATGTGTAAAAACTTCCTGTTGGACACAAACTGTATTTAATACCCATCTGAACCAGGTCTCCCATAAGTCTACGTGCTTGTGGGCTAAAGTCTACTGGAAAGGAAAATGAGCATGAGGGTTTTTTGGAATTGCTCTCTCCATTATATCCCTGGTAACCAGCAAGAGATCACTGCTTTGGTTTACTGGCCCAATCATTGCTTCTTAATCATCCTTGGTTCTGCACTTAAACACAACTGTTGTGACTTTAGCTTCAGGAAATTTTCCGATGGTGGTCGCTCTGGCTGATTATGGGGATAACGTCCGGATACCATCACAACAGGGGATCATTAAGTCATCCCTGGAGGTGTACTTAACTAAAGCCAGTGATATCGTCTTAAAAGTATCTTAGCCGTCATCAGACAACACACGATCACACAGTGTGAGTGTAATTCTGTTCATATGAAGTGTGACATATGCTATAAAGAACATTATTAAAGTTGGTCCCTCATGTGGGAAAGCCCAAACATTAAACTTCATGAATGCTTTTCAGTGCCCCAATCTGAATATCTAACGCTTAATCTGTTTGAGAGAAAAAGCAGCGAGTATAGAGAAATGTCGGTAAGGCCTGTCAGCACACATTTCCTTCATCGAGCGGCAACCTGGTGTGTTTCAGCAGGACAAAAGGTGGTCCTATACCGACCGGGTTTACCTTCAAGCTTTTGGGAAATGTCTGGCTCTGTAATTACATTGGCAGGAATGCAACGTTTCCTGAGCAACAGTGTTGTTTCTGTCCAACACAGACACTTAAGAATTAACCTGCCACATACTTTTTTTTTTTTTAAATCTGAGTGGAACGCTTGGCAGGCTATTAAATATGTTATTAACCTGAAATCAATATGGTATCACATGGACAGATGCTGATTAAAAGAGAACACGTGAGGATGGTTCCAATCTTCCACTTTTGACTGCTGAATGTTTCCTTACTGGCGGACGTTTGATTGAATCCCCAGAGTCCTTACTTCCATGACAGATCTCTGAACCAGTCTGAAGAGCTGCTGGTTTTCATTGGCTAGACAGGCCAGGAGGAGTTGATGGATACATTACCAAGGTGTCTTGATGGACTATTGGTTAAGACACACGATATACTGTGATGGTAACATCAACCCAGTTCGATCAGTGACATTCCCCCTCTCTCTCTTCTTATTTTCTGTCTTCTTTCAACTGTTCACTATTGAATAACAGCAACAAGGCCATTCTTGCAATTCAAATTCTAAAAATAAAGGATGCATCTGATTGGATGCATAAGTTGACTCAACTAATCACTGGATAGTTCTAGTGTGCTGGAGGGACTGATGGTGTATGTGCACGTGTGTACATTTGTTTGCAAAATCATCATTTAGTATTGCCAAAGAGAACTTAACACCACATCGTTTACAGCGTTTTTATAGAGATTTAAATATTGTATGTAGTTTCCTTTCACAATCAGTCATTATCAAATAATTCACTTTTTGCAATTCATGGTAATGCATTCCAATAATAAATACTATCATCTTTGCTGGCTGAGTAACTGTCTTTAGAAAGCTGATGCCTGACTCTCAAACACCCAGAGACAGTTCTGCAACATTTTCAACCGTTATCTTTTCTCTTAAACATAAAATATGGAATATCAAAGACAAACACAGTTGGAAAAGAGGGTGCAAGAGGGTCATCCATGTCATGTTGTAGTTGGGCATAAATTACATAACGTTCAGCCTTTGAGATTATATTCATATTCTTGAAACCTTATCCTAATTTAGCTAGCCTAAATGAACAGCGTTTTTTGTAGGGAATTAATCTTTTAAAAAAGTTAGTTTTACATATATCATTCTGCATCAGGTGAAAAAAATGAATGCATCTGAGACAAGAAATGATTGATCAAAACAAAAGAGAATATCCGGGATTCTCACCTTAGAAAGAAGTAGTAGTTATTGTTTTTGGTGACACTGTATGAGAAGCAGGTGAAGTAGCCCAGGCCGGTGACATTAAACCTGGAGCCGGCGGGGACCTCCAGCATGCTGCCCCACGCCTGGTCGCACAGCAGCTCAATCTCGGCGGAGAAAAGCAGCTCTGTGTCGGACGGCTGGACGGGCAGGTAGTTATCATACACATTGTAAAACTCCTTGTGCAGTGCTAACACCTTGGCAAATACTATGATCTGTGCCAACTCGGCACGGCACGCTTCTGTCTGCTGTCTCCAGTCGCGGGGAAGCTGACATCCCCAGCTCCCATCAGGACCCGCCGCTGCCAGAATAAACGCCAATATAATCCACATGATCCGACAGAGATGGGACGACTGTGGGTCAGAGAGGCGAACCGGACGCGCTATGCTGCTGAAGGATAAAATCACGAAAAAAAAACAAAACTGCAGGGCTTTCACTCCATGCACATACTTCCACCACAGTTTAAACAAAGGTGATATACAACAAAGGTGATATACAACAAAATAGTCCCGGACAGTTGGTAATTTCTCTGCTCTCTGTGGCCCTTGCTCCCTCCTCCAGCTAGAATACCTGCGATCAGTGGATCAGCCCATTCACACACCAGCATCTCATTCAGTAATCTGCCTCTGACCTTTGAAATGAGTGCAGAAGGAGCAAAGAAAAGAGTGTGTGCATTTTGGTCTGCGTGTGAATTCATTAAAAACAAAACTTTCTCAAACAACAAATCCTCTAGCTCCAAATTTGCGAGGTTATGTGGAAATTTAATGCGACAAAGAAACGTTTTAAGGCTCTACAGCAAACAATAAATACATCTGTGGCGCCCTCTAGTGATAACATGGGCACAGGGTTGGTGGTAGAGTTTACTTTATGTTTTTCTGGCTTGTTCCCTGTTAATTGTTTTCTGGAGGGACACTCCAGGATCTAAATGGAAATGTGTAAGAAAGAAAATTGCGCAGGCCCGTTCTCCCATCGTGTTTATTAATGTGCTCGGGTAAGCTGTGGCAGGCTGATATGTTCATCAGCGACTCCCATAGAAACTAGGCTGTTTGTGACAACAACTGAATCTGTGTACACTCTGTCAGGACGGAACCCGTGAGGCAAAATAAAGGGATTATCGATCACCAATCCCAGCCACCCTCGAGCCGAGCCAATTCTTGGTTGTGAAAGCCAATCACCTTTACGTCTGTAACCACAAATCAACCAAGAAATGTCCGCTGTGGCCAATCATCGGTCGTAGCGCACCCAAGAACTAACCAAGAATTGACCAATCGGCGTCTTCGAGCTCACTGCGCTGTGCGGCGGATGAGGAACACGGCTGGGGGTTCCTTCCTCTTACCGCGGCATGGCGAAAGTAAGAATTAAGCTTAACGTGACTAATGCCAAGTCAATTTAACGGTAACATATGTGACAAAATGACCTGCCTGTTGATGACATTAGCTAGCTAACGCTAAGGGGTAATCATACGTATACTTATACTGTAATGAATGATGGACGTCACCTGCATTCTATCATCAGACTGCAGGACTGTCAGTCAGTTACTGGCTTCATTAGCTTTTACACAGTTTGTATTTATGTATATATTTATCCTCTATTTGTATTTTATCTTTTCCACAGTAATCTTTATTCTTGCACTGTTTATACGTTTTATTAATCTATTTCTGGGCTGTAAGTAACTGGCTATGTTAGTGTACAATCTGCATTTGTATTTGTTAATATATATCTTCAATTTGTATTTTCTACTATTCATAGTAATGTAAGTAACCTTACATTTGTAATACACTGGACCCAAGTAATGCATAATGTAATAATAATCCATGATGTCACATTGACATGGGTCATTCTGGTCATTCACTTTTGGTACTTTAAATACATTTTGTTGCTAATGCTTTTGTTTTTCTACTTAAGTGAGATTCTGATTGTAGTGGTGTATTTTTAATTAAGTAAAATATACAAATAACTTCTTCCACCACTGGTCCCTGGTGGGACATAAAGTGTGTTTAATATGCTTGTCAATGCTTTACTTCGACTCATAGTGATTCTGGGATGTTATCTGACATTTTGAGCCTGTTGGAAAAATATGCACAGACAGGGCATAATATAAAATCAATATTACCAGGTGATCCTGACTGAATATAACTGATAGTAGTACAGCTTCCTTAAGTAATGTGTTACCAAATGTTTTGTCCGTCTAATCTCTCACAGCTGTGTTATTTACATCTGTTTCTCTCTTTTCTTTATATTTTCATTTTTTAATCTAGATGGATCCTCGCTTCAGGAAACGTGCTGATGGCAGTCTAAACATCACAGACACAATTGATGCGACAAAGGTGAAGGATAGCAACAAAGGAAAGCCGTGGATGCAAACCATGTCCCCAGAGGGAGTGTTGGAGAAGAAGGCCAAAAAAGCTTTAATTCAGCACTATGGAGATCCATCCATGGTTTCTTTGAAATCCAGTTTGGTGTGTTTCGCGTGCAGACATTCAGGTGGAGTGGCTGAATATCTGCACGCTGCTTACCTGGTGGCAACAACACAGAGGGACGCAACAGAAGGCAGTAAATACTCCCAAGACCATGGCCACAACGAGAGGTGTGAGACCACCCAGCACTCTATTCCCACCTAACACAATGCCCCGACCAAGCACTCTGCGCCAACCCAGCACGCTAACACCACCCAGCACGCTGCCCCCATCCAACAGGCTGCCACCACCTCTCCCTCTTGGTTAGGAAGGTGATCAGAAAAGCCTGACCAATGCTGTGAAAAGCCTGGTTCTCCCCTTCAAAGCCAAACCATGTGAGCAAACATGACACAGTTAGTGTTTTTGTTTAGTATTTATTGCTGTTCAATACTCATGTTTATCTTTTTGTCCTGCTTGTTGTTTTTTTAATTTTACAGGCATGTGCATGGCCATCACCCAGCCTCACCCACCCAACTGTGTCCACGAAGCTGGATGATAGCACGCTGCTGGCAGAGGCATTGAGGTTTGAGGAGGCACACGTTGCACGTACGTTTATACTTATTTAAAACGTACAAGGCAATATTTAAGTATATTAAAGTGAATTTACATTTGTGTTTATTTCTTTGTTTTTCTTTTTTAAAGCACAACGAGTCTCTTCAGCTGGCTGGATGCACACCTTGCCTGAAGTGGACCAGAGGTGGATATCAAAGGCCCTGTTCAGGTGCACAGCACAATGGCATCCTGCTCTGGACTTTAGCAGGGTGGACAGACTTTATCCTCCACAGGTGCCACTGAAGACCAGTAATTATCCTCCACTGGAAACTTACTTTGGCCATCCCCTGCTGCTCTGGAAGCCATGAAAGCTGTGGCAAGTCAAGCATCGTGTCATATAGAAGTCATTGTTATTGTAACTATGTAAAAACAGAAAGCGGGTTTGGACGTTTCTGTGTTCTTATTTGTCTGTTTTTTTTATTGATGTTGCACTTTATTTCATTACATTTTATTGGCATTTAGTTTATTTATGCCTAAAGTCATTTATGTTACACTTTATTGTTATTATCATCATTGCTGTTATCATCATTCTTGTTCTAACTATCTTAAACAATATACAACGGACGTTTCTATGTTGATATCTTCTTCATCATATTCTTCCTATTTTTTTAAATTAATATTATTTTGTACATTTTATTTAAATGTACAGCTTTTAATATCTACCCAAGAGAGGATTATCTGAACTTAAACTATGTAGATACATAATAATCGTCCTATTTGTGACATTCTTTGTTTGCTTCATCATCACATAAGGTCCTTAGTTTGGGTGGACAGTAACTAAGTACATTTATTTATTTGAGTAAGACTCAAAATGTGTCTTTGCAGTCAGTTCGAACACTAACGATCTTCCCTTAGACAGCGAGTATAAGTAATAAGCTCACAATAACAATGACGGGATCAGTTAGTAGTGTCTGAGGTAAACCACAAACACTGAGCCAGATCATGATGTTTTAACAAAAACAGTCTTCAGCCAGTATATTTGCAAACACACAACAGCACAACAATCAGCTTGAGACATGTGATCCAACTGTTCCTCTGCAGCCATTCTTGATTTCTGTCAGTAGATGGAGGCATCAGCATCAAGTCACTGAGATCCATCGTTCTCGTGTAAAAGTCAATCTACAGAGTCAAAATGAATGTTTTATGCTGCAAAATTTCCAGAACTGGTTCAGTTCTTTCAGCAGACTGACATTGATAAAGGTAGAGGACTGACAATAGAGGAATTTCGTAAAGGGCTGAACTATATCTTCAGTGCAGACAATGATGACGAACTCACTGCCTTGTTCTATACGATTGACATAAACAGATGGTAGCATTAGCTTAGTATCGTGCATACTATGTACTATATACTATAGTATAATTGAGTGTCGTCTAGAAACTACTGGCCCTGGTGGCCAGTATAGGTAATGCGAGTTTAAGGCACATCCGTAATGGCTTCATTTTCAGAAGCGGAGGTTGCTGCCTGGCTAACAGGTATCAACTCAAAGGAACGTATTCTGTGAAAGAATCGGTCGGCCCATCACGACTGTCTTTGGGCTCGAGGATTTTAGGTGAATTTTCCCCTTAACGGGTGCGCCGATGTCGCGGAGTTTGGCGTGGGCTTAGAGAGGGGGACAGAGGAAAGAAGACCTGGCAACCCGGTGCCTGGGTAGAGGGCAGAAGAAGAGTGGTGTGAAGGAACAGCAAAAGGACAGACTGGTGAATCCAGGCCGGAAGGTGGGATGGAATGCTGTGGAAATTGAAGAGAGAGTTGGCGTCTCGTTGCCGCTATGAAAGGTTGAGTTTGCCTGAGATAGTGGAGGATGAGAGGTGACACGCTGGAACCTGGCAACCCGGAACTTTGTGGGTGGGAGGGCGGAGCTTGAGGGTGCGTGACGGTCGTTGGCGTTACGCCGGTGTGTTTTGGATGTAGGTACGTTTGTGTTTTTAGCTTGACGTGACTTGGAAAGTTGTGAGGAGTTGGAACAGTTTTGCTTTGTTGTCGGAGCGGTGGTGAGGAATCCCTTTCTCTTTCAATGCTCTTAGCAGGCGGACTACGGTCCAGTTGGAGATCTTGGCTGGAGCGCGGGAGTGATGGCGGCGGCTTTGAGCGCGGCGTGCCGGGGACCCGGAGTCGTCGGAGACTCGTTCCCGAGAGCTGGGTCTGGAGCGAGCTGGATTTACGTTTCCGTACTTTCAAAAACTTGAGTTTGTGGTCTCAATCACTAGTTTCAAATACACTAGTTTCTTCAATACAGCAAGATGTTAGTAAATGATGGTCCCTTTTAGGGGCCCGAGCAAATCCATCACGTGACAGCCAATCACGTTACCTATCGCGACCAAAAAACTACCAAGATTTGATCAGTCAGAGGCCTCGCCAGTCGCCACTACCAAGAATTTTACCCTACCAATCGCCTTTCACAATTTGACCAATCACAATCGGCATAACTACCAAAAATTACCACTTAACTGGTGAGATAACAATACATTTTTTTTTAAATTAAAGTTATATGCTATAATATACAATGACACACTAGTCAAACCCTGTTAGCTACAACTGTCTTCTACTTTTGAAATATTTAACTCTTATAGGTTGGCAAACACTGTCAGAGAGGTCGCACGGTCGGCATGGGCAGATAGTTATTCATCCCAGTATTTTGCATAAAGAATTTTCAAGAAGAGGATCCTGACGGTGCATATTCGGGAAATAACACATCCATGCGTCCTCAAGGGCTAATGGCGCAATGGATAACGCGTCAACCTACGGATTACAAGATTCTAGGTTTGTCTCATGGCTAGCGCGACATTTGCCAACATTTTAGCAAAGTATCCAAAACAATTGCATAACGTATTACATTGTGGAAGGTAATTTATTAACACAACACAGGCTTTGAATACAGTCAAATTGCTGCTGAATCACAGGGCTCAAACACAAGAGTAAAAAACGTTTTTCTGGTTTTGTGTCGTAATGCCAGATAACAATTGTGCCTGTTACTCAATACTTGATTGAGTTATATAACTTTACTCACTAAGCTGAACAAGAATTGGGCTTTTATCATGTAGGTTTGCATAAATCAGTAAATGTCATGGCAGCCATATGGTGACTGTTCAAAAAGGACTCCCATGCAGTCAGAGTACATTTGGTATGAAACAAATGCACCTCTAGGTGAAGCATCACCAAGCATCAATGCCTTAAGAATAAAGTTACTCACCACAGCAAATACAAAGTCCCTACATTTTTGATTGCTCTCCAAAGACCTAAATCTGTCCTGAAACTCTGCACTCTCCAAACACACATTTTTTTGTCATTACTCTCACAAAGCCTTTAAAACACAGTACAGGTTATGGTGTGTTCTCCACACACTCGCACATTGTTTCCTCCAGGCCCCGCTGCTCAGTACAAATCCATCCCATGGCTGGTGTCCCTTTGGGAATAAAGCTGGTGGGCGTGGAGATTTATCAGGTGACAAACACAAAGTGCCATGAGCTGCTTGAGGGCTCAACACTCAAGTGTGTGAGAGATGAAGAGTCTGCATGAGGACATGGCTGCAACACTGCTGACTGTGATGCTCACGATCCACTACATCTGCAAGGGAGGTGAGAAGCTTTTATGACACAGCATGACCCGGTAGTTCAAGAAATAATGCAACCTCTCCGCTATCATTTGGGGAGTTAATGCATCTGTGTTACCTGTTCATGTGACAGTGCAGCTGAGAAAATCAACAGCGACGGACTTCTTTCAAAAAATACGAGAGAAGCGTGAATCAGAGTTTTTTCCTGGAGGCTGCAGCAGAGAGGTCAGCGAGGCTGGAGAACTGATGGAAGCAGACGATGTAGAATATGTAAGTTCTCAGTAAATAGTACTTTCTTTCGCATTTATTTCCAATAGAGGATTTCAAACATGTACCTGAAAACACATCGACTTGACATCAAATTTATCTTGGTTTGCTTTTATTTTTAAGAGAAACACATGTTGACATATACAGTCTTAATATCGGAACTTATTAGATACTTTCTGTTCTTTCTATTAATTTATTATCTCTCAAAGTTCCCCTTTAAACGTATCCAAGTCAAGCATAAATCAAAGCACAAGTTTGATTATTTCAATATGCATCCAGACTGAAATTCTTCACAGAATTACTCTACAGGTTCTCATTTTCAAAACAAGTGTAATGTCAGTAACTATAGACGATGTCAACAGGAAGGTTTCAATTCAAAGTGGGCCATCACTCTCTGTACAGAGGGATATTCTATCCACATGGAAGTAGGAATAAAGACCATGTCCAGAACCTTGACTCAAGGCTGGAGAAGCACTCCTCTGTTCGACAGGCATATCAAGTGTAACTCAATCAAGCTAGTCACTGAGGCATTTACCATTACTGTGTTCCTACATACCAGGCTTGCAATGAGAAGACAGAGTAAAAGCAGGCCATTAACATCGACTTTGTTATAGTGCACCTGCTGCAGATCTCAGGTGACCAGCATGAAAGTCTTTGTTTCACATAAAGTCGAGCAATAAACCATTTTTTAAATGTTTTTAAGAGAGACCTCATGGATACTATCGCATTCACAGCCTGCTGTTCTTGTATGGAATAAATATAACAACTTATTTATAGGAGGAGAGTTCCAGCATGCTGTATAATGGAGCTGCTGCTCAGAAAGAAATAAACCATGTAAGTTGTAGTTTGGCTTCAATATGTTGTTTTTCATAAATAAATAAAAAGCATATTGCACACAAAGTGTATGAATAAAGCTATTACAGCAAAGCCTAAAAACACATTTGTCTTGTAGCAGAGCCCTGGAGAAGAAGCTGCAGTGGATGAAGGATCTGGGATGTAGCCAAGAGCGAGAGCTGAAGACGACTATGTTGTTTGTTGGGTCGAGGGAAGCTTGGCTTTCCCAAAAGCATCCTGGTACCAAGGGCAACTTGTATTATTACAACTAACAATACACTATAAATAGCAAGTAATCTCACTATGCATCTTTGAACAAAGGATGTATACAATTAAGATGATTTGTTTCAAGGATTAATTTGCATGCTGAATTTCATTTCATTCAAATATTAAGAACGGTAATAAAGAACATTTATTTGATACCAATGTTTCATACTTGACACTGTTGCTTCTGTTCAGTAATTGTGACTTGTTAATCCATAGGAAATTTAAAAAAAGTAGGTTTTCAGAAAATTGAATTGGGAATATCTTGTAAACACTGTTTCAATACATACAATATCATTTTTAAGAGTTTAAAAGGTACATCAATATTAGATTAATTTGAAGTGTATACTTATATTTCAAAGTACATTTGACCTACCATCAAGCTTAAGAGCACATTAAGTGCCATCTAATCATTCTCAATAGCTTTACATGACCAATTTAATAAATGTATATTGTATGCATATTTGCTCATTTTGTGGCCTCATGGGTTAATTACAGGAATTTAACATTAATGAGGGGCTAAGTAAGATGTTGGGCCACAATGAGCCACATTTTATCCCCCTTTTTAATGCTCTGTGATGACCTGTAAATGCTGTCACAGGGAGTGTAAAAAATGTATCTTTTAGTTCTTGGGCCATTCAATTTTATTCAGAGGGTTGTGAACTTAGCTGTGTGTAGTCTTATCTTCTGTTATTTCGACCTGTGTGTGTTGTATGCTTTGTTATTGTTGTAGTGTTGGTATTATTAGTCCATCTTCTGGTTAAAAAAATCCAGGGAATTAGCCTCAACACACGGATTAATTACTTTACCAACGCACTCACTGCAAGGAAAAATAGCACATCTTGTCCTGACCTGTAGCCTTTAATTCATATTGGAAACAAAGAATAACAGACTCAGCCAGACTGCTGGCCCAAAAATGGCCCAGCAGTTTTGTTTCTTGATCCAAATATTTCACATTTAAAGAACTAAATCTAAAGAAATATTTTTTGTCTATGTGGACTCCTTTGCATAACGAAGTTTTTTTTTCCTTTTGCAGTTGCAACATTAGAAATATACAATGTTTAGTTTAGTCATGTGTCACATGCTGATCACGAGCGTTGATGGTCGCCTTCTCCCCCCATATCTAATGGACAGTTAATAGAATGAATGGAGGCTGGAAATATACAGATTTAAGGCGTTTCTATTCTATTTTTATGACTTATCTTGGATCTTGCCATATTTTCGAGTACAAGTTCGCTTTAATGTTATAATCCAATTTTATGCGACAATAATTGTAGCTATGCACAGAGGGTGACAGGCTACTGCCTCTTTAATGCTGCCTTCAGGTTCTCCTCGTAAGATCACAATTTATCTTTGTAGTAGTAAATACTAATGCCTTCTCATCTGATAACAAAATGTGCCAGATAATATGAGCCGGTTATTGGATGATATTTTATTTTTAGAATCAAGTACCACAGAATTACTTTGTGCATGATTACACCTTGAATAAGGAATACTTCAAATAGAGAAATTGGCTTTACAATTGTAGGTTTCATATATTAATTATGCTAAAAGTTATTCTATGGACAGTATTATTTTAATATCAATTGTCATTACATTTTGGTACAGCGAATCAAAGTTAAAATTCCAACCTTACCTTTTTTTTTAGTACATTGTTTATCTATCGTTGCCATACATATTTGTTCTCCCATTTCCGATAGCACTCGAAGGCTACATAACGAGCGTCGACAGTAACAGTTACGGCTCGACACTTTAGCTTTAACTCGGATACCAGAAACAGCGTCGGTGTCGTTCAGAGAAATCTCATTTCACAATGTAAGTCTATCGTGTTTCCACCAAACGTTTTTAGAAAATCAAATGTTACTTTGTGAAACTTGCCTAACATACGGGCCTTCCGGGTAGTTTGGTGAAACAGGATCACAGAAAAAGAGCAACGCCCTAAACTTTGCAACTAACGTTAGCACGCAACAAGTGCTAGGATGGTGTCGTTAGTTTTGGCGATTTGGCTAAGCTAGCTACCGCTTCATTAGAGCCTGGTTACTTTACCCAACACAAACCACGTCATTCAACCATTTACTAGTTAAGAAGAAAAGTGAAGGAAACTATGGCTGGCTTTTATAACGTCTACATCTACTTAACATTAGCTATAACTTAGGACAATGAGCTTTATGCTAGCTTAGCCTTTCTTTTTGGTTGACCTAACTTTGCCCACTGCCTACGTACATCCAGTTAACCCTAACGTTAAAACTGAAAACAGTTCTTCGTTAAACTTAAGTATTTCAGCTGTCATTGGGAATCACTAATGGCTTGTACAAAGTAACGCTAACATTAGCGTTAACGTGTCAATTAAAAATAGGAAATGTATTGATGCTTTAGTTAACCTTTTGTTAAAAACGTTAGGCAATAATTGCACGAGACGGTAACGTTAATTAAAGTGGTGTAACTAGTTAGGACAGAGTGATGCTTTATTGTTATCATTCACTGTTTGTCGAACTGTGGTCATGTTACAATAGCAATACAGCGCAAGCCAAAGCAAATTCCCTTGTATCCCTTATATTTACTTATTTTATCATTAACATTATCCCTATTCAACCCTAAATCCATTAACTTCCCCCTCGTCTATTCCCACCCTCCTCTTAATTAGCCTACCACCCTACACAGGAAATCTGCCTAAATAAAATGAAAGTAACGTTTGTTCAACATGTAGACGTGCAAAAACCAATAACCTCGATGTTTAAAAGTAATTTTTCATCCCTGGTCAAATCTATCCATATGTGGATAGTACCTGTTTGGGTGATGTTAATCCGTGCTGAAGATAGTTCCTGTTATAAACTAAATCATTGTACTCAATGATTTAGTGATAAGTCAAGGGGAGTTTTCCATGGATTTTCAAACTTGCAGTGCAGATGTTGCATATTGAAATTGTTTCTTTTTTGTTAGATCAATAATCTAGTGTTAGAGACATGATTCTTGTGATGTCGGGACTGCATGAATCCTTTAATCAAGGTTATCACTTGTCATGATTTGTGATGCATCTAGTCAGGTGTTTGACAAGAAGCAGTCATATATCTCACTACACAGATATATGACACATGATCTTAAGCACCTATTTTGATTGCTTTACAATCTTTTTTCACTTCTACAATGCAGTAGAGAAATTGACATATCTCAATATTTTTCTTATTTTGATATATGAATAAGTAGTAATTGATACAGGAAGATCTGCTTAACGACTGCGGTCAAACACTTGAGTTACGTTTTTGAAGTGTGTACTGAAATAATGTTGTCTCTGGAAGGTAATTTTACATCAGACCTCATCTTTACATCAAAAGAATATCAGCTTTTGCCATCACAGAAAAAGTAGCGATTAAATCGCTGCACTGCATCTACTTTTCATAATGCCTAATATGATGCATGTTCAAAGTAAGGTTGTTTGTTTGTTTTCATGTTGCTTTTGTATTTTAAACATTGTACAACTTGGGACACATAACACATTTCATAATATATTCTAATAATAAAGGGGAATAAAATAGTAGAATTTGGCAGTAAACATAAAGCCATTTAAACCCATTTCCTGTGCATTTTCATGAACAAACAAACAGTGAAACATCTAAGTGAAACTAAGTTCATGAAATTGCCTTGAGTTTGGACAGTTGTACTACTTTGAACACATCTTACAACTATAGCGTTATCAGCGATAGGAGGTAGTCACAAGAATCTGCTAACAATAATTACTGGAACAGAGTGGCAGTGAAGAATAGGCCTTTTACATAGCAGACATTTTGACAAAGCTCAGGTGTAATTATTAATAATATGTCAGCCCGTTTCAGGGCCTTGTTATTGTGTAAGCTGGCTCAACTTAAATGGAATAGTCATCATTCATGTTACATACACCGGTGCTATTTATGGTATGACAAGTCTGAATGTCTGCGGTGTAAAAGGTAATTCATAATGAATAGAGAAACAGACTGCTGGGTTGGTTGTTTTTGAATCAGCAGCATTGTAACATCATATGAATACACTTGTATCACCTTAGTGGGGTCTTGGATGTCTCACAGGGGAACATTAGATTCAGCCCACCTATTCTCCATTGTTGATTTTGGTGTTTGGTGAGTTACATCATGGATTGTTTTTCTGCAGGAAATGAAATAGGTCAGACTTACTAGCATAGTCAGTGCAATTTCCATTAACTTGACTGCGATGTGTTCCTGTGTCGTTCAAACCTAGACATTTGGAACGTAAGTGAGCTGTTGTGCCTCACTCCTACACTTGTGCTATATTTAAAGGGGGCACCAGCTGCAGTTGCCTCTGAAATGCTCGCAAATGGTTAATGCACTCTAACTGATATGTGTTGTTTTTACACTGTCTCAGCCACTCAAGTAACAGCCAGGTTGTAAGATCAGTGGCTCTTCGACAAATAGGTTTTGTTTTCTGATGTTATTATGCGGCAGTGTACTTTAGGACTGTTCACATATTGATGCTAAGCTAACGCGCTGATGGTATGCTTGATCTAGCCCAAGTAATGCTTGGGTTTGCGAATTCACTGGTAGTTTGGAGAGAGTGTTTTCTAGAATCTACGGAAGTAGCTCCTCTGTTACTGCTGCCCCACTCTGCTTCCTCATAAACATAACCATATGTAATCTTGGAACTAAGAAAGTTCCTCTTTCTGTAATACCTGGATCAATAAAACCCGGGGGCTGGTTTGGGTTTGTCAGAGGTCAGTTTAGGTGGAGATGGTTTGGTTTGTCAGCCTCATGTGAGATTTGGTGCAAAGCTGATCCAACCTGCATTTAAATGTTAATGTATTAACTGTATTTTACTGCTCACCATTGGTTTCTTTAGCCATTTGTGGTTTTGTCACTTTTGTTTCATACCCTCATGCCGTAATATACAGCTGATATTTTAATTTGATTAGCCCATGTTTATCAAAAAGGCACAATAAAGCCCATTCTGCAATAAGGATTGAGATATTTATATCATAGTACATGGTAAATGTTTTGTTTGTATTCTAGTATGCATGGGTGTGCCTGTTTGCTGAGAGTAAGAACTGTTTTGTTTGTAAAGGTGAAGGAGTGATCCATCTACAGCTGTCTTTCATTGTGGATTGAGTCTGAGCATGTGGTGTAAACTGCCACAGGTCTCTTTTAGTCATGACCGAGTCATGACAAACCGTGTAAAGTAAACCGTACGCTATCTATTGTCTTTTTTTTCAGGAGAGTTTGGTCATTGCAGAGCAATGCTGTCTCGTGTCAGAGGGTGGCAGTAGCTAACTGCTGACTGACTAACCTCTAAAAGAAGGAAGGCTCAATCTGCCATGTGACAGCGTTTTGCTTTTGCATTGGTGCCAGACTTTTTTGCCACTTCTATTAAAGTTAATGGGCGGGGACAGCAAGTCTCACTTTATATCTGTGTTGTTTAACCTTCGACTAGAAAATGCTTCCACAAAATACAAAAATAAACACATTAAATGTTTTTTTTAATGGTACTGTTTGGTCCAAGATAGCTACATCATGACACATGTGACCAAACTATTATCGCTGACCCGACTGGAATTTATTACCAGATCAATTTATGAATGGCTCTGATTATACCTGGCAGGCTGGACTCAATGATATGGCCCTGACGTTAGCCCTTCTAAATGTTATTAAATATCATTAAGAGTTTTCTGGATGATTAGTTATTAATTACAAAGATGCTATATTGCAATGAAATACATGTAGAATAGTACCAGCTTGGCACCAATGTGAGTTCAGTGATCTAATTACCCTTCCTTCTTTTTGGGGTTCCTATCAAATCTAGAAACATGGATAAACAGTTCAAGTAATGGGTATGATTTCCTTGTTCCAGTTTCTGTTTCTATATTTGTGTCCTTCCCAAGTTGTTATGAAAGAAAAAATTGGATGCATGCTTGCAGATAAAGAAGGGCTGGGTGCACAAAGTCAAATACAAATTGCACAGATGTTCTTTTATTATGTATTTCGTCCAGTGGCATATCTATTGTCAATTATTTAATTGAAGTATGAAATCTGCAACAACTCTTGTTACATCTTAAGGAAGTGCTGAATGATTGCTGTTATTGGCAGAAGGACAAAATGGAGCATCAGTGCAAAATCAATATTCATATAAAACACAGGTCTTGAAGGCCCCACCCCTTCCCTAAATATATGAATATTGTTGCCGTTTGTGGCCAGCTATTTTTGGATGGAATACTCTGTTTAGCGTGGCACCACCCCCCTCAAATTGGAGAGCAGTTCAGTTATTTACAATTTTTATAATGGCTTTAACTGTGATACAGGAATTGTAAAGCTCTTGGATAGTCCAAAAGATGAGTGTGATAAGACAATGTGGTTAGGGTGTTTGCTTCTACCCATCACAAACGGTTGTTAGTCCGATGCGTCTTAATAGTTGAGGTGCAGATTGAGTTCCATGTTGTGCAAGATCATTTTTTTATGATATTTTTTTGTGAAATCTCACAGACGGCTAATATCTACAATTGTCATAATTTCACCAGGTCAGCAGCCGGTCCAGAAGGTTCTGGCGCAGCGTCAGGAAACAAGCGCTTGCAGCAGACCCAGGCCCAGGTGGATGAGGTATGATGTGTCTTCCAGTACTGGCTTACGAGGTCCAATTACAATCTGCGTCATTTCTCTCACCTGTGCCACTCTTATTATTGACCCTCCCGTCTTCAGCCACTGCGTGTGACGCCCTTCTTCTTTAATGTCTTGTTTAATGTTCTGGACCAGAGACTTGCGTAACGCTTGGCAGCAGTGTCATGAATCACCGCCACGTGGAATCAGTTGCTCTCCAATGCTCTACCTCCACATGTCGGCTCACATGCCAAAAAAAAACAATATTCAAAACCAAGTCAAGAAATACAATGGCTGCTAAATCTCACACTCCCTGTGGTTTTGTTCTTAATCGTCTTTACTGCTCTCTTTCTTAATTATGGCCCTGTTGATGTTGGCCCCTCCTACACAGAACTTTAACCGCAGCGTGTCACATACGCGCGCGCACATTCATGATTTTAGGTGAACCCTTGTCCATAAAGCTGTAGGTGTTAGAGGTTACTCAACACATTTCAGCAGTGATGTCTGCATTCTGCATGGCATATAAGTGCATTTCCAATCGATTCTTTTAATTGTAAAATAACTTATCAAGGCAATGTTTGTTTGATCTTCAATGACGTCTAGTCAGAATTACCCAACATTCAAATCCAGTACACCAAGGTACACTAATCTAAAAAGTACTGATATTAAGTGTTTTGTTCTTGTGTGTGAGTAGGTGGTGGATATTATGCGTGTTAATGTGGACAAAGTGCTGGAACGGGACCAGAAGCTTTCTGAACTGGATGACAGAGCAGATGCACTGCAGGCTGGAGCCTCCCAGTTCGAGACCAGTGCAGCGAAGCTGAAAAGGAAATACTGGTGGAAGAACTGCAAGGTGCCTAAAAAAAAAAATATCTGACCCCTAGGCCTGCCATGTTTACCCAATGAATAGTTTGATTCACCTACACAACATACATTATATATACATAACCACTTATGTGTGTCACTGAATGTTCTGTACCATTATCTGTTGCAGATGTGGGCCATCCTGATAGCTGTCATCATCATCATCATCATCATCATTATTAGTGAGTATCAGGCCAGTGGTTGGAAAACCTTTTTCATCCACAGTTGTTGCAGTTTGTGTTACTTCAGATGATCAGAAGAATCAATATGATTTTTAATAAGTTTCTGCTCATAGCCCTTAATAAAAAGAGTAGTTATATTTACTTTAGAAAGGTTTCAGTTTGATCTGGGGTGTTGATGTTGATGTCTAGTTAGTATATTGTTAATATATTTGAATTAGAGATACTTTAGTAAGTTATTATATTCTTGGTAAAACTAATAAGTTAATTTAAGTCTTTCGTCTAAAACGTTCCAACTCCTTTATTCACAGTTTGGAGTTACTCCTAAAACAGCAACAACAGGCGGAGGAGTGGAGGAAACGATGAAGGAGAGGAGAGGAGCAACGTACATAATGAAGTCTCAGAAGATGACGTCCCGTGATAACTGGCTACTGAGCTCCACAACAAATGTTCTCCTAGCAGGGGGTCTTCATTCCTTGTCTGCCCCGTGTGTGTGTGTGTGTGTTTTACCCTGCATTACTACACCAGACATCTTTAAACTTATATTAGAGTTCTGTGTCACTTGCCAAAGAAAACAGAAACATTCAGAAACAGGTTGATAATTAAACTTAACTAAAACCTATAAAAAAATAAAAAAAGAATTATCTTTGACTGTATGACAAATTACACACACACACACACACACACACACTCTTTCTCCAACCTCAGGACTAGAAGTGAAGAATGTTGTTAACTCTCCTCAACTTATATTTACTTTCTATCTTTTATTAATAGCCATTGATTTTGTGTGCCAGGCTATGAGAAGTGGCTTTAAGGATTTGCTCTTCTGTGTTGGTTTAGATTGTAATAGTACTCCTGCATATCATTGAACAGATGCCCTTTTCTAATACATACACATTTGTACTTCTCAGATGCCAATATTTAGATATTTGTCCTCATTTAGAAAGAGAAAAAAAAGCTGTTTTATGAACTAGTGTAGTTCCAAACAGACCTGTTGGGACCGGGCCGATTGCTTGGCCTCCGGTATTTCACCTTTCTCGATAACCACTCATCCCAACGATTTCACTCTTGGCACTGGACTTCCTTGGGTTCTCAGCAGTACATCTGCCATGACAAAGTTGCATCCCCTAGGAATGCTTGAGTATACGCATCATTTGGGTGCAAAAGCTCACTCAAACATTGACTTGAGAGCCAGCTGTACCAAGCATGCTGTTCGGCAGTTTAACAGGTAATAGGGATTCGTCTCAATACACTACAGATTGTGTACTTTAACCCACTGAGAATGCATCCACACTGCACTTCGTTGGGTCCTCGACCAGCCAAGTGTGAAGTCGATCCAATGAACGGTTGTCGAAGGACATACTTGCATACTGACAGAAACTCACTTCATTTTAGTTCGATGGTTACAGTTGACTGGGTAATGGTGGGATCTGATGCCTTTATTTATTTATACACCTGGTTTAGTGCCAATTCATTTTTTTGTATAGGAGCTTTGATTTTGGATTGAATAAAAAGGAATTGCATTGGTCACCTCACAACAAATAAGCTAACCAGTAACACACTGTTGAACCACCTGATCATACCTGTCCCTGTCCATCTACCTTCTGGGTAGGACTTCATTAAGAAACGGTCTGTGTTTAGATAAGTGCCTATACCTATAGATTAGTGCCTATATAGACCTACAGCCTCACAGCGAGGCGACGCTAGACAAACTGCCATGAAGTTTAAAAAAAGAAAAAGTGCTACACTGGGTTAAAATTGGCGACTTTTCGCAATCGGGTGCTCTCGATGATGTGTCAGAAAGTTTGCCTTTGTGATATATTCAAGTCTTAAAAGTAAGAAAATATAGCGTTAGACAGATGCCTTAGTGGGTATCTCCAATGGAGAACCGCCAAAATACAGCCACGCCTTATTTATCATATAATCCAGCCAATAAAAGAGTAGTGCCTTCCGAACTGTCAAAAGAATTACTGTGCTTCTTGCTTATTCCGCTGAGCGTATTAATGTTTAATAAAGTCTTCTGTTTAGTCACACTGGCATCTATCCCAGCTGATGAAAATGATGTACTTCTCACGTGTGACATTTTAATATTCCTCTAACAAAAGCTTTTTTTTGTAGTATTTTTGTCTCACTGCTGCTGAGCATCATGTGATTTGAGTGTAGACAAAGACTTTGTTGGGCAATGACGGTGTTGTATACCAACACTGGATGATTGCATTCCCTGCTGTGGCCTCCATCCTATTGAAATAAATGTATTTTAAGGAGATAAAACTGTTTGGAATTCATTTGTACTTTCATTTCACTTTGCCTGGAATTTCATTGCTGGAATTATAACTGCTGATGTTGCATTTTTTGGTTGTCTTTAAGACATTGGCCTTCAGTGTATGTGTGAAACTGGTAATTACAATGAGCACTATACAATACAATACATTTTTAGAGTATAGGTATATAGATGTAGCCAAACTGTAGCCATTAAGGAGACTTAACATTTTCAAAGGCCACTGAAAATGCTTTTGCAGACCAAACTTGTTATCCCAGCTGTGTGAAATTGTTGTCATCGTCTCATGTCTACTCCAGCAATGTGAGATCCAGTAATTTCCAACCCTTGCTCCTGTCTAACCACTGCACGCATTTGGAAATAAGTGCAATTCTACTCTTTGGCCCTAAATGCCTTTTGCTTGAATAAAACAGATGTGATTCCAATCACGAAGCCTCATCTGTCTTCTGTTTCTGATCCATGACAGAATAAATGTCAGAGTTTACTCTTTTCAAAAGGGACTTGCTATCTCACCGCTAGTTTTGGTCTAGCTTTATAGATGACTACAATGCCATTGATTCCTCTTTTGGAGTCGAATATATACCTGCTCAATAATTCAAAGACCCAGTTGATCATCCACACTGCTGAGTAGCTCACTGGCCGCCACCAAAATACAATTGTCAACTAATGTTACGTCATTGTTGAGAACTTTCCATGTTAAAAAGGGTTTTGGTCTATTATAACCCACAGATATCACATGATGATGGATCTATTGGGCAATGGCTCGCTTTGCCCAGTTGGTGATCCAGTCTTACTCTATTACCATGTATGCAAAAGTTATAACATACATCACTGTGTCAAATTGTTTTCAAGTTCCAATTTAAGTTTCTTTGTGATACCAAACATTTTGAGTGAAAGAAGTTTTCTTCAATACCAGATTGTAAAACTAAGGTTTGTACAGTACGTGTACCACAGCAACTCCTTCAACTGCATAGTGACTTACCGTGGCTGACACATGGTACATTTTTTGATGGAAAATGAAGACAAAGACACATTTGCAGCTCTCTGTTTGTAATGTTCAGATTCTAGTCTTGTCAGTTCATTGTTATTGGAGTGTATTCTCTTATTCCTTAGGTCCGTTTCCTCTTGTGTAGAACATCAGCTTTTATGCTACTCTTGACTTTCGAACAACAGCAAACATGATGATCATTTCAAATTGAATTTAGTGCTACATAACAAGTCCACCCCAGTGTCCAAAACGTCCTGCAGCGAGTCCTTTCTCCACCCTGTATCCTGGTCATCACTCTACAGTACCTGTAGCTTACGTTTTCAAATTGTAAACACACAGGGTGGCCCAAAATGTCCTCTGATCCTATGTTTACTTAATGTATGAATTTCCTCTTCCTCTGTCTATTTGACTGGATGTGTGTTTGTGTCAGACAGAGGGGGATTAACTATGCCTTGAAACTCTGTGAATGTTGGAACTCTTTTTCTCGTACTGGCTTCAGATTGCAGGTGAGTTTGTAAATGTGTGTGTGTGAGGATGTGCACTGATTTGAGAGCTGCTTCCTTTGATACAGTTGTCCAACAGTGCTAGACAGACCAGGGTTTTCTACCATTTTTAAATTGAAAGTATATTACAGTACCATTTTATTTTGTAGAAAAAGGACACAAAACAAACTTCACAAAGTGTATAAAAGGCCATTTGTCTTGAATTCAGGGACTTTGTTTGTGACACAAAGGAATGAATAAATGAACTATGTACGTATATGTAATTAGGTGTGACTGTCTGTTAAGATGAATACATTTAAATTAAGAATAGCTATGCTGAAACCTATTTTAATTTATTTATACACTCATCAGTGCGACCAGTAGGTGCAGACTCGACACAAAACATTCAAAAAGCGCAGATGTCAGCAGCAAAGTGTGTGCATAAGTGTGTACTTGACACCACAACCAGGGCTGTTTGAATGAAGGAATGAAAAATAGTTTGGCAACCACTATGTCGATATTGGCCTACTTTTGACATGTCCCGGTAGGAAAAGCACAGGTATAAAAACATTCATTTGAATACAAATAGACAACGTTATCTCCTCAAACAAATCATGAATAACCAACTTCAGCTAAACATCAGCGTCAAACATTGAATTTTAACACATCAAAATGATACATTTTTACATACACTGCTTCATTGGTCAGTTAGCATACAGTTAATCAAAGCCTACAGGAAGTAGTACACACTGGTAGTAGCCTCTCAGTGGTGCCTCATTCCAGTCAGTTAATCCAAGATGGATTGGTGAATAAGAAAGAAATGAAAATATTTTTTTTAACTTGAGGAATAATGACCAAAGCTGTAATAACCCATAATTCATTTTCACTCAATCACAAATTAATTCAATGTATGCACACTTGCTCTTTCATCCAACAGTCAAGGCTCGGTTTAGATTTCCCTCTGGGTGGCGCTATTGTGCTGTGCACAGTGGTCCAAGTCCAGTTTTTTTTGTACAATTAATACAAAATCAGCTTTTCTTTGTTACTAATACGGACAATTTGAAAACACAATGCCTCAGTGTGAGCTGTATTTACTGGTTTTCTGAATTTGTACAACAATTTTTATCTCTTGCTGTCTCTCCTGTGTTGAGGTGTTGAGTATGTGCAGCCTCTGGACCAGCCAGTGACTCCAGTTTCACTTTTCCTCACTTAGAAAATTTCTGCATCTCTGCAAAGAAGCCAAGCCAAAATTAAGATGAAGGAAAATGAGAAAACAATTAATGATGGCCGACTTTGTGTGTGTGTGTGTGTGTGTGTGTGTGTGTGTGTGTGTGTGTGTGTGTGTGTGTGTGAGTGTTACCTTTGTCAAGATCAATGACTTTAGGCTGAGGGCTCATGTGGGCCTTCTCTTTCAGCAGGTTGTTCTTGTAGTCTAGAATCACACAAGAGAAAGTCAGAACACGCAGTCAAGACAAAAGTCACTTTTCCTCTCTTTCATCTGACTCACCAAGTCTTCTCTCCTCCCGACTGCACGCGCTCACTTCAGTAACGTCCATCTCAAACTCTTCCGAGCTGCTGTGACTTCTGCTGGACCTATCACGGTAAGAAACGGTGTGTGTGTGTGTGTGTGTGTGTGTTAAAGGGGAAAGACAGTGATTATGTGAGTGTGTTTGTGTGTTCTCACCTCATCGATGACTGTGGGTTAAACTCTGAAAACACAGGAAAATTAGATGAGATTCAGAAATGTAGATTCTGTGTCAATCTACAGTCAGACTGAGGTACTGCAGGTCAGACCTTTGGTTCTCCGTCTGCGTGTGATGAGGATGATGATGAGGATAATGAATGCCAGGAGCAGGAAGGAGGTGAGGACGTAGCCCAGTGGCATGAGGAAGTGGTGCCTCTGGTCGGGCAGAATAACATTGATGACTCGCGGTGATTCAGCCTTACTGGTATCTGAGAATCACAACAGTCAGCATGAAGATCTTCCTTTTCTCTTTTCTTTTACAAACAGACTAATGAATCATTGTGAGCTTTTACACATTTACTAAACAAGACCAGACCTTGCATTGAACAGACATTACACACAGTCATGAGTAACCCACAAATCCATTGAACTTTATTTGTGGAGGAGTTAACTTCCGAATTATTAATAACGTGTTTAGCCGCACTAGCGGTGCTGGTCAGTCCGTCCACTGCTATGGTCCAGACTGAAATATCTCGACAACTATCGGATGGACCGCCATGAATTTTGGCGCAGATATTCATGGTGCCGAGAGAATCAATCCTACTGCCTTTGGTGATACTTTGACTTTTCCTCCAGCACCACCAGCAGGCCTTGTTGTTTTTTCAATTATCCTGTGAAACATTGCAACATCTCGTTTTTGGATTGGCAGACATTCATGGGTCCCTGATTATACATTTTCTTACTATCTTTTTCCTCCAATGCCCCCATGAGGTTGCCATTTGTAGGTTTTAGTGAAATGTTTCAACCTTTTGATGGATTGTCATAAAATTTTAGAATATTAGTATCCCCTTTCGTAAGAATAGTTCTAACTTTGGTTATCCCTTAATATAGTGCACTCATTAGGTTAAACTTTTTGTTGTCATGAAGTTCAATATATGACCATCGATATTTCCACTAACCTCAGCAACTTTGTATTTAGTGCTAACTAGCAAATGTAAGCACGCTAACATGCTGAGCTAAGAGACAAATGTGTAAATAATGCAGTCTTACCATTAGGTTAGTGTACCAAAGTCATTGTGAGCATGTACAGTAAGCATGCTCATGAACAGCCATGTATTGATGCATGTGTGGCTGCATATGCGTGTGCATTTGTTGTTGCACGTGTGTGATGTAAACTCTGACACCTTGCAAATTTTTTCTGGCTGTAAAGTCATGCTTAACACATTTAGAGGGCAGCGAGGAATAATTAAGCATCAGGTGATAGGTGCGGTTCTGTTAAGAACGGTGTTGAGAAGCAGAGGGGTGAGGGAAAGCCTGGTTTAATTTTGCCTCGTTAAACAAAGTGCAAGGCAAGGAGCAGCTGTGGACCTCAGACTCAACACATTTCAGCCAAAATGAGATCTAGACAGAAAGTCATGCTGTGATTTACTTTCCCTGGCAGTAAAACACAGAGAAGTGAGGAGAGAAGGAGGAGTGAAGGAAGGACAGAGTGGGGTAGATCAGAGGAGGAGAGCCAAGGGAGAGGAAGGGGACAGTGAGATGTTTCTCCAGAGGTTTGCCTCGCAAAATGAAGCTAGAAAAGACCTTGATCCCAAACACAAACTTAAAGCGCATACACAGCTGCAGAGTACATGAAAACAACATGTTCATTAACATTACAAATCCTCTGATCCTTTTATTTAGTTTAAAGCCATTTTCTGCTGACTCGTGCCCTGATGGGAACATATGTGTTTGTGTTTAGACTGGTTGCCCCGTCCTCTTCCTGCTCAAACTGCACTGTGAAATAACTCTGATGGGTGGGAGGGAGGGGTGACCTAGATCTCTTCTCTGCTATTTCATCAACAGACTCTCAAAAACCTCATCCATGGGCTAGTCTGTCTGTCTGTGTTGCCAGCTTGCTGTGCTGCCACGCAGAAGAAGCAAACTTCCTGCTCATGTCCATAAACCACCAAAAACAGTTCTCTTTCTTCATGAAGGAAGGCAAAAAGAAAGTGAGGAATGCGATGGAAAAGAGCGAGTGACAGGAGCAAAGATGAAAAACAAACCTGAGCATGTGGGATCCTTTAAGGGGGGAAATCAGAGAGAAGGCTGGACAGACGGAAGAGTGCAACGTCTCCAGAATGTCAGGAGACAGCCAAAGTCAACAGTGCAGCAGACAGTCAGAGAGGGCAAAACAGGAGCAGATAAGATGATAAAATACTACAGACTACTGTCTGAGAGCACAGAGGAAGAAACTGTACAAACTCACTGCTGTTCTGGAAGATTTCTCTTTCTAACCAGTAAAATTCCCATGGTGCAATCCGACTGTATTATTACAGCTCCGGGAGTGAGGGATTAATTGTGTCCAAAGACTGTATCTGAGAGATTCCTCCGAAATGAGATCGGACTTGGCATGCTCTTTGACACACACACACACACACACACACACAGACTGACTTGACCACAGGCCTTTTTCATTTCCAAACCTCTCTCAATGAGTTCCGCACATTGATACATCTGCCATTACGGGCTTTGTTTCAGTAACCTTCTGGAAAACACAGACACACGCACCAACAAAACGTTCTCATTCTATAGGAATTTGAGGAAGGCAACTGGCACGCCAATGAGTCAATGCTCTCTCTTCCTCTCTTTTCTGTCTCCACTTTCTAATTTGCACTCAGGGAAAGAATTTCTTAGTCAGGTCAAAGCACTTAGAAATGTGAACTAAACAATTGAGAGAGGAGAAACGGGGAGGAGCATGCCGAAAAGAAAGTTGAATGATGCACTAAAGACAAAATCAGACCCTGCAGACAAGACAAAGCAATAACACAAAAGTCTGTTGAGTAGTGGCATAGCGACGAAAGAGTGGAGGGTAAGAAGAAAGGTGAGGGTGATGAGGGTGAGGTTTGGAGGACTGGGCTGTGAGGGAGGGTGTGTGGTTTCAGGGGTCTGGCGTCAGACAAGCTGACAGTGCAAGAAAGAAATCTCTCATGAAACAAAACATAAAAGTTCAGAAAGAAGAGCTTTTCTTCCCCTCTTCCTCTTCTCTCCATCTACACTGTTACTTTGAACCTGTGGAGAGTGCGAGGCAGAGACGAATCATGGCATGAGGACAAAATGAGAAGGCACAGAGGGGAGGAGTGAAGGAAAGAACAGATGTGTGTTTTCTTTAGCCTAATTGTTCTCATGATAGCTCAAATCCACTAAGTCATAAAGCATTCTCTCTGTTAAGGCACTTACACTGACTCACTATAACTAGAGCAGGGGGAGAGAGAGTGTGTGTATGTGTGTGTGTGTGTGTGTGTGTGTGTGTGTGTGTGTGTGTTACCTTTGTCTTCACTGGGCAGTGTTTTGGCTGGCAGTGTGGTCTGAATCACTGGTGCTTCCACTGTGACCTGAAACTCTCTCCTCTCATGTAGACCACAGTAATGGTGGTGGAGGTGGCAGGAATACATCCCCTGGTCTGTGTACTGTGTGTTAAATGTAGACAGACAAATACACACATTAAAGGCCACTGTATGTGCCTTCATATGAAACCATCTGTGATCAAAAATGTAAACAACACCAACAACAAAAAGGAAGCTGGAATTCAAAAATATCAGAATTAATTTAAAACACAAGCCACCAATTAAATCCATGCTAATAAAGGTTTCTGATGTTGTTAAAGATTTCTTTACATCAATTTAAACCTTAAACCCCTGTGGAAAGTGCTCTGCCTCATTTAAAGATAAAATTACTATTTTTGATGATTACCCTTACAGTAAAAGTGGACATAAAAATGTCAAGAATGTCTGACATCCGAGCAGTTTTGAAGGTAGAGAAATGCCCTTTGCATGCACTTTGCAAAACATAGCCTGCTCTTGTGTAGCATCAATGCTCATTTGAGCAAATAGGATCATTTGAGAACACTTAATACTTCTGATTTAGCAAAAAACTTTGTAGATTTTGTGTTACATTAGAGCTAATGGACACGTGCCACAGTGTTGTCGTTAATCCCCGGAGCCCGCTGAGCCTGTGTTTAACCTAAATGTTCTGATTTATGAGCTCTATCAAAAGAAACGCCGGGGACCTTGAGATTCCTAAACTGTGACTGTAAACGTCTCTCTGCTTGCTATCACTACAAATGACTGGTAGGAAGTCCTTTTGGATAGATATTGTACAGTTTCTTATGTTACTGTTGTTATACAAGAGATGTAGCTCAACTTACTTTGACTTCCAACCTCTTTTTCCCAACAGAGCGATAAAGAGCTGCATTACTAATGAAGGTTCCATGTGTTCTGGAAACACCATATACTGTACATGTACACACACAGTTAGGGGGTATCCAGTGGGAAGTGTACCTCATATGGAAGTATATTTTTACTATGAGTACTGAAGCTATCAGGTTCTTGAGGCGTTTCCTGTTAAATTACTCTTCTTTTGCACACACAAACCTGCAGATCAGATATGGAAAGAGAAAAGTCTCCGTCTGAGAAGGCTTGATTGCTGATGTTCATCTTCCTCTGGAGGAACAGCGTTCCGTAGCTTCGCTGCTCTCCAGAGGCGTATAGGTCCACCAGACGGTCAGCGCGGTTGTGGTGGACTCCTTGGGTCTGACGGTCCCAGTGGACCACCTGGAGGCCACCAAGTTAGGGAGGGAGTTACACTTTTCAGTAAATATCACATAATCCCTTTAAATTAAAAGTAAATCTAGACTGAGACCTAATGTCTGAAGAAAACCTCCAAACAAGCTCGTGCACTCCACGCACCTGCTGGTCCTCCTCCTCGTTGCTCCAGTCCGTCCACACGTTACGCCGGTTGATGCACGGCAGCGCCACAGTACTACCAAGCAGCACCACGTACACCGCCTTATGTCCGTCCCAGAAGCGCTGCTGTTTACGACCTTTAATGAAAAGACAAACGGAGTCAGCTTTAAAGTTGCTATGCGTTGAAGATGCTGATAGCCTGTGTAGTGTGACACGTACGTGACTTAGTGACGTTGAGCTGTACTCTGACTGTCTCGTACAGGTTGCAGTAAAGATGGTGGAGGTTACAGGAGTACAGACCTCTGTCATTCATCGTCACGTCTATGATCACGAGCAGAAACACAGAATATGCAGACATGCTTATAATGTCGGGTAAAATCAATGTTATCTCTCTTAAAAGATTTCAAAAAATGACAGCGCTTTGCTGTAGTTTATGAGTTATAAATCAGGTTTATGTCACATTTCTTCCATTTCTTCATTCTGGAATGAAAATATTTTTGCTTTGAAGTCAACCTTGAACTGTGTTATTGTGTGGGTGTTGCGAGTTTCCCACAAGCGCTTCAATGCACTTTTAAAAACAACAGTTTTTCAGACATTTTTCGAGAGAGATGTGGGCTGCCTCGCCTGAAACAAAGACCACTTCTGTTAACCACATTCAAATCAACACACTTTTGTGAAATAATAGATAAAGAGATGACTGTTGTATAGGCTCAGATGGGATGCATTTAGATCTGGTTTACCACGTATACTGAAAAATTCCCTTGAGGGAGTGAGCCCTGAGCTGCCCTTATTTTCAACTGTATTACTGTGGCAAAATGCAATTCAAACAGACAAACAAATGAATGAATGGACAAGTCAAAGACAATGAGTGTGACCTTTGATGACCAGAGAGAAGTTTCCATCCCTGAAGGCTCTTGGAGTGAGGCCAACCCTGCCCTGGTTGTAAGAGTTGTAGATCCTCTGGTCTCCTGCGGAGAACATGTCCAGCACCCTCTCCATGGCATAGTCTGGATGTGCCCGGTACATGTCCCAGTGGACCACCCTCTGCCTGTCCCTCAACCTGTCCCTGGTCCACACCATGCGGCCGCTCACACACTGCAGCACCACCCTCGACCCAGCGGGGGCGCTCACATTATACCCTGCCACCACCACACTGCTGCTGCTGTCAGACTGACCAGACACTGAAGGGCAGAGAGGGTGTTGAGTTTACACACTGAGACATCCAGATTGAATTATAACTGCACACGCACAAAGAGAAACATACCTGCAGTGAAGAGGCAGGCCACAGGGACTGAAATAGAGAAACAGGAGGGAAAGTTAACAGGATAATCACTAAAACAGACCTTCAGACAGCCACCCCATGTTATGTAAATAAGATCACCAACAGACAACTTACTGCATCTGTTTTGAAAATCTAAATATCTATAATTGAAGTAGCGTAAATTCTACTCTTTGACTGCTATTCATGATGTGCAGTGGGGCGAAACTTGATGCTTTTGATACTGAGTCAGTAAAACTCATCTGACAGGATTGTGTGTGCCTGTGTTGGAAGCATGAGGTGGACAGGAGGGAAGCATCAGGTCTGGCTTTAATATTACTGACTGTCTCTAGCTGTCAGCAAATGAACTGAAATGTTTTCTAACACTTTAAATAAGCGTAGTAATTTCAAAGTCTTAAAATATAAGCTAAATCTCTTCAAAGAGAAAGAGGAAATAATGAAAACAATGAAAAACTATACATTTTAATGATTCATATTTTTGGTCTTAATAGGCTACAGTTTTAAAACAATAATGATACGTTATTATCTTTGCGTACTCTACATGCACCTTTATGTAAAACAATGATACACAAACCAAACTCCAGCCTACTTACTGTGGATCAAGAGAAGAGCCTGAAAAACGATGCCCTCCCTCTCAGGCTTCATGTTTACTATTGTAACGGTACTGCGACTTGTCAAGGCTGTGCACCTGGCAGACGGTCCTGAGGGTATAAAACACCCAATATATATCTAGATCCATGCGCAGCGGCAGCAGGACTTGATTTGGTCAGATTTCTCAGAGTCTGAGTAAGTAACAGGCAACGCCACGCTGGGGCTTCAACACTGAACCAAAACAGGACCGAACTGAACTGATCCCACCCGGAAAATGAAACCCGACACCACCGACCTGCATGTACATCCCCCTCCTCACAAAACTTAAACAATACAACAACATCTCAAGATGCAAATATTGCAAGAATATATTATATGCTCTCCACTTCACTGCATTTCAAAATGCACTTTACACAACTTAATTTGTATGTTATATATATGAATATGAAACAGTTGCCTAAAATGACGGGAGACATTCTTGAAAATTGTTACTTTGAATAAATGCAGTACTTCTGTAGGTATTTTAGGTAACACAAGTTTTGAATGGGACTCTTAAAAACAATTAGTTTGGGTTATTATTTGGGGAAGTAGAGTGGTTTCCACCACTACTTGATCTCTGCATGTATTGAGCGAGGCTAATTGGTCATATCCAGCATTTAATCAGGAGGCCTAGATGAAGCTAATATGTCCTTAAATGTTATTAAATTAATCCACCACACACGTAATAAGCCATTTGAAGTGCACCGTATGACATTTACTGGATATTACAATAATATTTAGCTTAATTGTCCGGCAAAGTAGTTCAGTATCCACGTGTTTCCACTGCTCCAGATGTTTTTTATTCAGCTCCAGGACGACCCTTAGTGGTTGATTACGTGTCATGACATGCACATTTACAGCATAATCTTCAAAACTCACCTGTAACAATATTGCAAGATGTATTTCTGAAGGGTGTCCGTTCATATAAGCACGGAAGTTATATCAATAGACAGCTCTACACCTGTCTCCCTGACCATAACTCGCTGCAACCTTAAAAAGTGGTTCCCATACCCGGAGTACGACCATAGGTATTATTTAATTAAAATAAAACGAATGAATATACATCATTATTAATAGATTACAAGGTCTGTTTTGTATTATCCAAGTAGCATTGAGTGTGTATTCTTTGACAGTGAATAGCCAATTCTGATTGTCCTCTGTGATTATTCTGATCTGACTTGCATGATTAAAATATATTCTTGGTCTAGAACAATTCTCATGAAATAGTCGTTCAAGAGACAAATTATTATAGTTCTTATTAAACCCTAAATAATGTTTCTGGGCAGGATTTACCATTCCCAGCTGAATTATTAATCTGAGTTCTTGTATTTAACCCATTATTACAATAGCCTTCCCAATAATGTGAAATATGAAAATGCATCACATTTTATTTCATATAAAATAAGATAAGATAATCCTTTATTAGTCCCGCAGTAGGGAGATTTACAGGATTACAGCAGCATAGTGGATAGTGCAAACAAGAAAAAAACAAAGTATTATAAATAAGTAAATAAGTAATAAAACAGTAAAGAATATTAAATAAGTAAAAAAAGTAAAAAATCAACAATAACTAAACTATTATATGTACAGACAGAATATTTGTAGTATTGCACAGTGTATTTATATTGCACAGATGTTTGGTGTTGTTAGTGTTGTGTGGTCTACATTATATATACAGTATATAACAGTTTTAAAGTTATTTTATAGCAGACACTACAACGTGTCCTCGTCGTTAACAAACTTAGATTTCATATTGTAGGATACCATGAATGCTCAACGACAGCTCTGCACACCCGGAACCTTCGTTTCCGATTCTTTTGACAACCGGCGCGTTTGGGTGTTACACCCTCAGACGCTTCCCCTCAAACAAGCGAACTCATTGAAGTGTTTGTTGCTGGAGGTAATTGAGTCTAACAAGTACAATTATTCAAAAGACCATCGCGGAATAGTTGATACATGTTCTTTTAAATGTTATAATAATGTCTGAATACCGACGATAGACTTCTGTGAGCGTTTTCTGTTCCGTTTCAGTGATTGTCCGCGTAAGTTAGCTATAGCATGCTGCTAACTTTAGCAAGCTAATCTCCCGGTGTCACGGCAAACTCGGAAGCAATGCATTGCCCTTGCTTTTCTAATTGCTTTAACTTTTTTTTAAAATAGTGCCACAGTCTTACATAACCATTCATCTCTTTTGCAGGTCCCGTGTTAAACGTTTAAAGATGTTTTTGACAAGATCGGAGTATGACAGGTGAGTGCAACACAAACTGCTTTGTCATTTATTGAGCGCTGCTCAGTGGGAACGAGGAAGATGAATAAGAGAGCACACTTATGTTAAGAAGATGCTTGAACATTTTGCATTTATTGGCTGTGACTGCTCAAGGACAGTTCCCTTTGTTTCCGTCCTTTGTTGTAACTTAGTTGCTGTTTGTTGCAGGTCGTTAGCTAGCAGCTAGCTCGTCACTTCGCATTTAGTTAGCCTGCTTTCACTTTCGGTGTCGCTATTTTAAAAAACTTTATTTAAACAGGAAAACCTAATTTTGATTAAAATGTTGTGTTACACTCAAGATAAGTAGCTACAATCGTGCTTTGAGCGGTATCTGTAAACACAACATAATGCTAAACACATTTATTTGCAAGTTGTTTTCCACCGATGTCGAACTGATGACTATTATTAATAATCTTTCTCATTCACGTCTGTCTTCCAGAGGTGTGAACACATTCTCTCCTGAAGGGAGATTGTTCCAGGTTGAATATGCCATCGAGGCCATAAAAGTGAGTATTTCACACTGAATCACGTAGGTTGACTAATAGTTCTTCTTTTGTGTGGTTATTGTTTACTAAATTCCAAAAAAGAAATGAAATGTCCACCTCGATGCTCACAATCTTTCTTTGGTCTGGCTTTGCCTTCCCAGTTGGGCTCCACAGCCATCGGTATCCAGACATCAGAGGGGGTGTGTCTGGCTGTGGAGAAGAGGATCACCTCTCCGCTCATGGAGCCCAACAGCATTGAAAAGATCGTGGAGATTGACACTCACATTGGTGAGTAGCAGTGATTCTCAGCTGTCGGACACAGATTAACTGAACCTCAAACATGGATGCTGACAGAGGACGAGTGCTCGAGTGTATTTACTGTCTGTTAACTTGAGAATGACGTCTGCCAGCCTCTGTAACTTTATGTAGATAACCAGTCGGCTTGGGTAAACAATCAGTTGTCCAATTAAACTTTTTTTGTTTTGTACATTCGATGCATGCATTTGAAGTAGAGTCAAATTTGAGTGGACAAAAATTGAGGAACACAGGAATATTTTAAAAAGATGAAGCAACAAAATGCAAATTCAAAAATGAAATAAAACTATTAGCAATGCTGAAAGGTGAACATTGAGTAAGTGCTTAAATATTTTGGGAGCTTTGGGATATTTTCTGAAACGTACTGTGCTGTCAATGCTGTCTCAGTCATATTTCTTACATGTGTGACTTAAAATTTGGATGAGGTGTACCCTTATACATTGCCTGATAACGTTCACTCCGATGACAGTGAATGACATCACATTTCTCACAGTCTGACTGACTGTTGCTTTACGCTACAGCATCAGCATTTTCTTTCTTTCTGCCTCAAAGGTTGCGCCATGAGTGGCTTGATAGCTGATGCCAAGACTCTAATTGACAAAGCAAGAGTGGAAACCCAGGTATGAATGCTGAGCAAATAGGAATATAATGCAGTACCCTAACCGCCTGGTGTTCTACCTGTGTATAATCTGTATGTTCTTCCTCAGAACCACTGGTTCACGTACAATGAGACGATGACCGTGGAGAGTGTGACTCAGGCGGTGTCCAACCTGGCGCTGCAGTTTGGAGAGGAGGACGCTGATCCTGGTGCCATGGTCAGTCACTCGGCTCATCTATTCAAACCTCAAGCCAGTGTTCTTTTTTCAAAGACATAAACTGCCATATCCTGTTCTCTGCTTTGTTCCTCTGTGCCGTTATCTATACAGAGTCGACCATTCGGCGTAGCACTTCTATTCGGGGGAGTTGATGAAAAAGGACCCCAGCTGTACGTAAAGATTACCATCTGTGCTCCTTACAAACTTTACATTTCAAACAGAGGCATGTTCACCTTCGATTCTGATTTCACTGTTATTTGTTTGTGGATGCAGGTACCACATGGACCCGTCAGGAACCTTTGTGCGGTGTGATGCTCGGGCCATCGGCTCCGCTTCTGAGGGAGCACAGAGCTCTCTGCAAGAAGTCTACCACAAGGTACAGACCACTGCGTATTTACATTTAACAGGAACATCAGCTAAGCTAATGATGATGTTAATAAGCTGCTATCCTGTGTGTGATTTAAGGAAATTAACTGTTTTCAATTTGTATAGTCTAAAGTAAAAAGACTGATGGACTGAACAGTATCTTTTCTGTTTGTCCCTGTTTAACTTGCAGTCCATGACATTAAAAGACGCCATCAAGTCGTCTCTCACCATTCTGAAGCAGGTGATGGAGGAGAAGCTAAATGCCACCAACATTGAGGTTCGTTATTTTATTTTTCGCCCATTTTCCTAATACTTGATTTTACACATCAGTAAAAATGCCCAGTGCAATTATATGTATGTTTGAATATAACACCAAACAGTGTTCAGTTTGCACATTACTTCCAGAGTTCCTCCGGTTTCATGTAGGGTTTCATGTAGGTTTTCTTTGTCTGTGTTTCTTCTGTAGCTGGCAACAGTAGAGCCCGGGAAAGCCTTCCACATGTATTCCAAAGAGGAGCTGGAGGACGTAATCAAGGATATCTAAAGCAGCAAAGACCTGGAAGTCTTGCTTTGCGTTCTGGGCAGGAGAGGAGGAGGACACGGAGGAACACCTGGGCTTAATGTCACAATACAACCACATCTTTTCATCAGATCAGCACATTCTCCTTGCTGCATTCAGATATTTTTTTTTTTGATTGCATAAGAGGTTTCTATTTTTAATGTGCTAGTTTACTTCTTGTCTCAGTATCTGTACAACTCTGTGCAGGAGTCTGACCAGCGCTCACAACTGAGTGGCAGGAAAACAGTGTGGGGGGGGGGAGGTAGGGCGGGGGGGTCTTTTTTTGTTACGAATCAGTACTACAATTAAACTGTTGTATTCAGAAACTGGTCTGACTCTATTTCTTTTTTCAAATGTCCACTCCCCCAACAATATAAAGTTAAATAATCTGTTAGGAATAAATATCCACAATTTGTCTTTTATCACCACTGCCCTTCTTATAGCTTCTTACCAATTAGTTGGTTTTATTTTACTAGCTCCCTAATTCTCCTATATTTGTGTTTGATTTTTGATCTTTGCAAATAATAATTTATCTATTTCATCAGATCAGCACATTCTCCTTCCTGCGTTCAGATTTTTGGCAATCAAAATGTCCTAAATTCCTCACCACATTTTCCATTTTATTTGCAATACAAAAGTCAACTAGATGCCTTTTGGATTTATGAAACTAAACGATTAAGCTGAGATAGAACTTTATTAATCCCCAAGAAAATTCTTGTGCCAGAGATTGATTCAAAGATTATGACAGAATAAGAAAAAGCAAGTAAAAATATAAACATCTGAATAACAGATAATACATATTAGGTCTGCAATATGTAATACTGACTAATTAGAATAGCAATATTTCATTCCATTTAGATCACTTAACTATTTATTATGTTAAAGTTTATATATTTTTGTCTTGTCTTTCAGGGCTTCATTATCAGGAACTGCCAAAATAACTGCAAAATTGTTTTCCCATATAAATAGTAAACTAATCCTTTTCTTGGAAAAGCATCAGCCAGACTGTTCTGCTTTGTCTTCCCTTTCTTGGAATTGAATTTCAAAGAATAAACTCCAATAAAACAGTTTCCTGGCCTATGTGCGGTCATTCCACCAGGGGGCAGCATAACACCAGAAAACGCGTTACATCGCAGTTGAAGATTCCTGCCGTCCAATCAGAGCGCAGGTTATTTTGGCGCTGGCCAATCGTCTTCCACGGTGGATGGGCCGTTATTGAAGAAGCATTAGGTGATTTGGGGGGGGGGGGTCATGTGGAGCCGACTGCTGGGACGAAAAAGCTCTTCGCAGAGTCCAAAGTAGTGCAGTCTTCTCTGTAAACATGATCTCCGTATCTTGCATCTTGGCGCTCGGATTGTTTTCGTCTGCACTGGGCACAAAGTTCCACGAGGGAGAAAAGGTCTCGGGTCTGAGGAGGCTGCAGCGCGGGTTAGGCGGTGATGAGGAGCGACGAAGTTTAGAGAAGTCGGAGCTCTCGAAACGCAGCGCAGGACTTAATGAACAGACATGCACAGCTCTGGCCGGAGTAGAGTCAACCCTGCACAACAACACCCACTCTGTAAGTGACTTATTCAGGTTTCTGTTAACCCACCACTACAACATCAAACTCCCTCAGTCTTTGTGTTCCTGGTTGTTTGCTACAGCTAAAGTTAACTCACAGGCTACCTCCATGTGTCGGTGGTCACTCAGCAGCACATGGAGCTGCTCACAATGTCCACACTGTAAACAACTTCACTGAAACACATGTTCATGTAGATGACTGAACACGAGCTTTTCCAGTGTAACAAAACGAGTGGTGCTGTAGTTGTGATTTGACAGCTCTGTGTGATGTGAATGAGGGGAGAAATACTGCAGAATAACTGATAATGAAAATATCAATACGTTGTAATAGTACTTTGCAGCCCTTTTTTCTGAACGACATTACAAAACCTAAATATATTCAGTTTACTGTAATATATGACAAAGAAAAGCATGAAGTCCTCACATGTGAGAAGCTGAAAACTGGGGATATGGGTGTTGCAATATGTTGGTACAGATCACTGTGATATTTAAATAAATAAATAGGAAATATTGATATAATGTTAATAATACACATATGACAATATATTGTAAATAATCCAGCGCATCTTAAATCATTTTATATATACAGTTATGATTACAAATTGTCTCTCCACCTCCCTACACTCGTCTCTGGTGTGTATTCATTTGCCAGAAAAGAGACTAAATGCACAATAACTGAAGATAAAGATGAATTTGACTGACAGTATTGGTGTTTTCTATTAAAATGGTGACAATACACTCATTGTCAGTTCTTTTTGGCCATGATAATTATGTGGTGAAAATCTGATACCGTGACAGCCCTACAGAGGAATGTTTGGCGCTTTTGCTTGAAAGAAGACACAAACAATTAATCGATCAACTAGTGGATCAGTCGCCGAATCGTTGCAGCTCTAATCCATTTCACAATTATACAAAGGAGAGAAAATGAGAATATATTTGCTGAAATAATATATTGCCAAAATATTTGCCAGTTTATTTCCTGACAACCAGCTTATTGTTTCTGTCTGTTCCACTTATTTTTAAATGATCTGAATTAATGCCGGTCTGGATCCATTAGTCCTACTGACGATGAACGGTTAAAGGAGGATGTCACTCCAAAAATGATTTTAGTTGTGCTCTTCCAATCTGTTGGCTGATACCTGTATGTTGAGAATTTGATTTCACATCCGTGTTTTTTTTGGCCTTCTCTTTCTTCTTCCAATCATGAACTCTTTCTCATCTTAACCCTGAGCCCACATTAAAATAGACCAAATGACACCTTCTGTTGTTTTAGTACTGGACATGTTGTAATAGAAAGCACAACAAGAACAACGCAGATGTCCAGAGGAATGTTCAAGAATAACAGCTTGGTTCCAAAAGCCTCAGAGCTCCACAGGACAGTCTTCCTGTTGTGTTGTGTGTGTGTGTGTGTGTGTGTGTGTGTGATGGACAAAGTTACATCATTTCTGTGGTTGAGACACCTGGGCTTAGCTTTGGAGCATGAAATCGATTCGCTGTGCTTACTGAGAACAGACCCCTCCCGTCTCCTCTGGGCTTTTCTCTCGAACAAATATTCCCCACGTTTTTCTCTGATGGATTTAATCCGAGTGCCAATGTGGGTTCAGGTTGTCTGTTATCAGAGCTGCGGGCCTAGATCAAACAGTATACAATCTTTATTTTTTTACTTTGCTATGTAAATTCCCAGATCAGACAGTAGATAACCTAGGATTCTTATTATGCTATTTTAGGCCCTGATAGATTACACAGGATGTGTTTTGTCAGCCAGCCCAAGCTGTGTCTTTGCAAGGTTCGTTTAGCGTGACTCTGTCTGGATTACAATCTAGCTTGCTCTTTCTTTTCTTTTTCTTCTTTCTCTCCTCACTCCGTCCCGTCCTCGATCCCCTCTGGCCAAGAGAAAAAAACATGTTCTGTTTTCAGGGTGAGAACGTGACTATGAAAAGCAGCAGAGCTGATGTTCCACATAGAGAGAGAGAGAGAGACACGGTGTGTTATGCAAAGTGTGGGTTTGTTAATGTACAGGGAGAGACGTCCAATGAGATCAACACACTGGTGAAAACAGAGAAGCACTTGTAGATTCAGAGGGAGACTTGTTGAGAAAATATCAAGTATGTGTTGAATCTATGTTTGTATTTAATTGCATCCATTTCACACTCTACCAGTGCTAACAGTCGGTTAGCGTAAGGAAAATGAATCGGCAACAAATATTGCAAAGTCAAAAACTTAAACGTCAAATATTTATCAAGCAAAAATGGCCAAAACTTTCCGGTTCCAGCTTCTCAAACGGGAGAATTTGCTGCTTTTCTCTATTCTGCATCAACATACATTGAATCAGATATTTTCTTGACTGATCTGTTAATTGTTTGGTCTATAAAAATATCAGAAAACAGTGAACAAGTCTTACAACAACAAATCATTTGAATTTATTCCGTGTCTTTCACAGAAGGAGGAATGCTAACGGCTCTGTGAGGCTGTACTCAGGAACAGTGGGGCTGCGAGCTACATGCTAACGTTATAATGCTAACACGCTCACAGAGACAATATGCTGAGGTTCAGTAGACGTAATGTTTATCATGTTCACCATCTCAGTTTAGCTGTGGCACCTAACACATACTGTGCCCTCTACTGCTCTTACTACCATACTATTTGGTATCCAGGAAAAGATTTAGTATATCCCAATTAATACATAATATGTCAAATGAGGTGTGCCAAAAATACCAGGATGTTCTGCTGTGTCCGGTTGCATTTTGCAGTATTTTAAGCCAAGAATCCTCTACGCAGCAGATACATGAGCAAGAGGGTCGAAGTTGAAGGTGTAAGGTCATGAAGAACATGAAGCTTCATGCAACTGTACGTACTTAGGGAAGCTGAAGTATGAACTAAAAGTAAAAATAGAAAGTATGTGATCTTTTTAAGGTCATTCCTAGAGCCGTGCTGCTAGCAAGGCTAAAAACAAGCTAAACAATTAAATCAAAACAACTTTCTGTTGATCGACTAATTGATGAAGTAATTCATCATTCAAGTACTAGATTGAAATTGCGATAGACATATTTTCACTTTTTTGAGATAGACAAATGGACATTGTTACGCCCCAGCTTTCGTCTCTGCCCGCGGAAGCTTAGCCCAGCCTCAGAGGAATGGTGGACACGGCTTCATGTGTTTCGATCAAAACCGAGAGAGTTTGACCCGCTCGTCTGAAGTTTTATGTGTGTAAAGACGGCCGAAGCAGAAAGGTTAAAACCCAGAGCAGAGGGAACAAGGAGCTCATTGTGTTTGACTCTGACCTCTGAGAGAGGACTTCACTGTGCTCCCACCCACCAACAGTGTGTGTTCTGCATGGACATACATGTGTGTGTGTGTGTGTGTGTGTGTGTGTGTGTGTGTGTGTGTGTGTGTGTGTGTGTGTGTGTGTGTTCACGTACAGCAGCGTGTGTGAAACGCACTTGTGCATCATTGGTGTCCACCTCTGTCAGTCGAACGTACCGACACACCTTGAGAATCATGAGTTGTTGTGCAGAAGCAGCTGAGAGGAGCCTTTTCAGAGCAGACGTGAACCCTTAAATTAAACACGATACAGCATGAGGTCATGTCTGGTTTGTGAGGCCACGTCCAGCCGAGTCAGACACTTATCTCTTGATGTTTTTTTTCCGCTGACTAATAAGCGTCTTTTCTTCTCTCCACCGTCTCCTTCTACGCTTCTGTTTTCCCCATCACAGAACGATGACTCAGCTTTACATCGGCTGCTTAGATTTAACACAGGTGTACAAGCAACTGGCAGAAACATTTGCAAAAGATCCTGAGACAATAGACAACATGAGAGCGGTTGACCTGCAGTGACGATGGTAGTTACTGTCCTTGTGACCAGGTTTCAGGCCATGTTTCTTAGATGGTCCTTAGACCAAGTGTGACGATGACGCTAACATTTAATTCATATCCACATGCCAAAATAATCCTTCATTTGTTTTCATTTTATAATCATGCCTACTACTTCAAAGACAGAAAGGGAGAGGAGCAGGAAATGTTGGTGAAGTGGGAAACCTGCCTTGTACCAATGTTCCACAACAGATCTGAAGCCACAACGCTGTGGTTTAAGGCTGGAGACTGTTGGGAGGACGGGACACGTCGTACTTTTCATCTTTTCACTGATCGACAGATCGAATGGGTGACTGCAAGAGAGCTGGAAAGCAATTAGCTGACTGAAGAAAGAATAGTTGGATGCAAGGGGAGGCTGTGATGAAATGATTTATGTCGAGGAGAGATGGAAAGTTGTGTTCAACACACTTGGGACAGCCGGGGGTCGGCCAGTTTCCACTGGACCTTATTTACAAGGAGTTTCCAGCAGCCAGCCCCGGCCGTCTCCTGTGGCTTTATAGAGCTCTATGCAGACTCTGCAGGGCTGGGCTCACCTTGTAAACATCTCTGCCCTGCCAGCAAGAGAGAGGAGGGGAAAATACGTCCCTGAAATGACCAAACACTCGAAAGTCACTCTGGATGAATAGACTGGAATGTTGTTTGCAGTCAGTGCACTTGTTGTGAAATGTATGTTCTACTCATTACCTCTGATATTATGTAACAGTGAGGTTTTGTTTGTAGATTTCAGTTCTAATTTAAATCCTGTGTAGCTTGGCAAATGTATTAATGTGTAAAAAGTAAGGTTTTTGTATTCTGTTATTGTCAGAATAGAATACTTTCAGTCTACATTTACCGTACAGTGTGTGTGAGTGTGTGTGTCTTGCTGTGCTCGGGACATTGGTAATTGTTTTGTTCTCTGGCCCCGGCTTTGTCATTTCGGCCGGAAAGTAGGTCACACACGCAGAGTGCATTCAAATGGCCATGTTACTTTGGATGATAAGAACAATTCACCCTGTCCTCTCGTTCAGCAAGTGACCGAAACACACACACACACACACACACACACACAAATCTCAGAAATGTTTAAAATAATCTAATTTTTTTTCTCCTTCCGTTCCAGTTCACCTTCAAAGTGAGGACCATGGGTTCACTGTCACTGGCCTGGGTGGGAGATGGATCCGGGGTGAGTTTGTTTACATGAGTGGAAATATATGACTAAATTAAAAAAAAGACCCAGAGGTTCTAGAGACGGTTGCGTAATCCCTGCTGTCTTCTCCCAGGTGCTGCTGGTGTTGACGACATTTCAGGTGCCGTTGTTCATGATGCGTTTCGGCCAGTCCAACCTCTACAGGAGGTGAGAAATGCCTGGTGGTTGATAAATGGAGCAGTAAATTGTTTGTCATACCTGTGGTCTGAGGGTCTAACGGCAACTTTGTCACTGTGTCAGTGAAGACTATGGGAAGACGTTCAAAGATGTGACTCACCTGATCAACCACACCTTCATCCAGAGTGAGTTTGGCATCGCCATCAGTCCCGACCACTCTGGCAAGGTGAGCCCAAGTGTGCTATTCTTAGCTTTGCTATGCCCTGAAGATGCAGTACCTTTCACGTACAGACCCCTGCTTGTACCTTACATAAGGATTTGTGTTTTGTTGTGCTTGGTCTGTATATAAATACATCACCGTTGCCTCATAATGACACAGAAAATACTTTTCAAGCAAATGCATGATCTTTCCTGACAGCTCCTCTCTGTGTTTGGTTCCAGGTGATGCTCACTGGTGACGTGTCAGAAATCGGGGGCTTTAAACTGTTTCGCTCACAGGACTTTGGCGTGACCTTTGATCCAACTGACCTGCCGTTTGAGCCTCTCATTCAGATGCTGTACAACCCGGGAGACTGCAACGTACTGCTGACGCTCAGTATCACGGTAGCAGCTTTTATTCTTCAGACCAAACCAAACCTCAGATCCTAGTTTTGAGTTTTGATAAAGTAAACTAAAGTGTACCTAGCTACCTCTCTTAATGTAATGCTGGACTTCTGTTTCAAGGCTACTACATTCTTGATTAGGCATAAATGAATACCTAAAAGGCGATACACACTTTTTTTTTTTTTTTACTGACTAAGACTTTCCCCTCCAGTTGGACCTGTGGCTGTCTGAGGACTTTGGTGCCACCTGGAGGAAGATCCATGACGGTGTTTGTTTGGTCAGATGGTGAGAAATGTCCCTTAAATCATCCGTCAGTTGCGTAATTACATTATAAATCCACACAAGACATGTGGGTACTAAATATGTAACAGATGGCATAAAAAATAACCAAACTTTAGGGACTGTAAGAAAATGATTTGGGTGGGGGTGGGGGGGGGGGCCTCAACCATATGTTTGTTATTAATATTTGGTTTTGTGTGTGCCTTCAACAACACTAATGATATCGTATGTTAATTCTTTATGATGCATTTGTCTTAAGTGTTCTCTTAAAAAAAATATGGTGCAATCTTTATTGCGATAAACCGTAACTACTGTTTCCAGAAACATCATATTATTCCTATTAGCTAGAAAATAAAGCCCTGATACAGAGACGTGATTGATGTACTCTGAATATGGAAAAATATATATTTACTATCCATGGTGCACACATAATAAAACAGTAAATCTTGCTAGAAAATAAAAAAAGTATATATATATATACATACACCCCCTCATGTACTTCCAAAATATTTATTTTGCTATAACAGGAGTGTGCTTGTGTGTTCTCTGTCCATTGTTTGTTATTCCAGCTGTTTCGCTCACCACAGTTTGGAGCACTCTGCTGACTCTCGTTTCCTTTGGGCACCAGAGTTCATGTGAGGTTGTGGTGTCAGCCTGTGGTTGTTAGCGCTGCATTGTGGGAACATTGCAATAGCTCTGCGTGACCACAGTTGTTATTTAGGCCCCAAACTGAATTGACTGCAGAGAGAGGGAGCTGAGGCTGTTGTCAGACTGAATCATGAGTCAGCAGCAGCATTCTTATTCAGCCCACAGTACTTGAGCCGGCAGGATCTTTGCAGTGTGAAAACCTTCGAACAAAACCAGAAAGGGCTTGGAGTGCGGCCCGGGGGGGGGGGGGTCAATGTGTGCCTTGCTCGCACAGCAATTAAAAGAAACTGTAGAATATTCAATATTCAGGACTGCACAAGGGTGTGCTGATTAAACAGGTTATTTGGCCAACACTATGGATGTGCGGTCAGGCATAATGATACACCAGGAAAATCCACTTTAACTGATTTATTGTACAGGTGCAGGGCACATGGAGCTGGCAGGCTGGTTTTTATCTAAACAGAAATACATACAATGTATTATTACTATGCAGAAATTGAATACAAAGGAAGCAACATCTGGTGACTCTTTAACAGACTAGAATCAACACAATGTTCATCGGTTTTATCTTTACAAATAACTAAAGGTACTGACAGTACAGTACAGTTAAACACGGGGTTATCAGTGGAAGCATGGAGACGTGAAAAAAAGGTAAACAAAGGACGAATCAAATCACAGTTACTCAGAAACATCATTCACTGTTTCTTTTTCTCACATACAGGGGTCCAAAAAACAGCATCTACTTTACAACAAACTACAATGCATCATGCAGTAAGTGAAGACTGTAAAGTCACCGATACATTTAAAGTTCTGCACTACAGCTCGTGACTCCACCTTCTCTCTGTTAGGTGATAAAGGAATGCTGGAGTTAAGGAAGACGGCAGACTACGGTCAAAGTTTTCAGACCATCGCAACAAGAGTTTACTCCTTTGTGCTGGGAGGTCGCTTTGTTTTTGCCTCCATCATGACTGGCACGGTATGTGTGTGTGTGTGTGTGTGTGTGTGTGTGTGTGTGTGTGTGTGTGTGTGTGTGTGTGTGTGTGTGTGTGTGAGAGAGTGTGGATGTCTGAGCAAGTTGTTTGACTCCTACTTACTGAATCTGAGAGCAGAACGTTTGTTTTTGTGTGAATCTGACTCGCACTGTTTTTCCTGATGCTTACAGTATCTCTATATATGCACCTGTTTGTTTCGTTATCAGCATAAATGGTACCAATACATACTTAGACACCTGGTAACATTTTTGAAAAATGTTTTCCTCCCTCTGCATTTTACAAGACTCAAACAGTCAGTTCACCCAAAAAAAACATATTTTCTCACTTATCACAAGTGATGTCCAGACTTTCTTGACCCCCTTTTCACCTAGTGTTACCATGTGATCTGGATAAGGAAAACCACATGCTAATGCAGGATGGGAATGCACGCAATATACATGGTGATCCAAACATGATCGGACGAGCCAGACCACATGCGGAGGTGGTTTTAGCTCATAGTGTGATAAAATCTCAGCCAGCTATTTAATCCGTACAGAGTGACCACATTCTGAAGCAAAAAAATCTGCCTAATATTACCTGACTCCGCCTCTTCCTGCAAGCTGAAGATGCAACGTTGAAGCTCCATTTGGTCTTTGAAGCTAGTGACTGACTTGGGACGAGCCGTGTTGACCACCAGACCCACTTGACTAATTTACATATTGCGAACTGATGAATGCAAGTATAAAATTGAAATAATGAAATCTCTATTCATACCATGTGTAAATGCAAAGGACGGTGCATCGTATGCCATCATCCAGATATTTTAACCAGATACAGATCACATGGTAACATCATGTGTAAATAGGAAACAGTTTTTTATTAGCTTAGCATTTGTGCATTTTAAACTCGTGCGATCATGCAGGTGGACTGGCACTTTAACAAGGCTTAACATTCAGCATTTCTATCTGAATTATAAAGCTGTAAAGGAGCAGCTATCGCAACATTTTGGTGTTTATGTGTGTGTGTGTGTGTGTGTGTGTTAGGGTACAGAGCGTATGATCCACGTGTCAGTAGATGGAGGTGAGGTGTGGAACATGGCTCAGCTCCCTACAGTCAACCACGAGCAGTTCTACTCCATCCTGGCAGCCAATCAGGACATGATATTCATGCACGTGGACAACCCTGGAGGTCAGAACCCGAGAGGATGCTCATAGTGATGATTGATAACAATGATGTAGATAATGCAAAAATAACCTTCATGCAAACGATCTCATTAGGTGTCCTTGGAAAAAGTTTCTCTGTGGGGATCAGTAAGCAGAAGTCTCACACAGTGTATAATCCAAACCTGTGTGTGTGTGTGTGTGTGTGTGTGTGTACTGTGTTGACCAGACTCCGGTGGTGGAACCATCTATGTGTCTGATGACAGAGGAGCCGTGTTCTCCAAGTCTCTGGAGCGCCATCTTTACACGACCATAGGGAGCGACACCGACTTCACCGCCATCACGTCACTCAGGGGCGTCTACATGACCAGCGTTCTCACAGAAGGTGGGTCAGCACACTAACTAATATGTGTACTTACACATTTAAGAGGAATCTTCTGGCTATTCTTTCTCAACATTTTTAAATATGATATGATCATCTTTCTTAATAGTATTTAAAGTGAATGTTATTGATTGCAGATGGTGCAATGGAGACAGTGATCACCTTCGACCAAGGAGCAAAATGGCAGACGCTGCGCAGACCACAGAACAGCCACTGTGACACCGAGACCTCTACCAACAGGCCTAACAGAGTGAGACACGCATAGAGTTATGCACACTATATTTGAATATTTACATTGTTATGTATATGCAGTGAGCGTGTTGACCTGGTACCAACATTACCCTAATTATTGTGTCTTTACAGTGCAGACTTCACATCCACGCCTCCTACAGCACCTCCATGAAGATGAACGTCCCCATGCTGCCTCTCTCACAGCCCAGTGCTGTGGGCCTCATTCTGGCTCATGGTAAACGAAAACACAAAGATGTCTTCGCCCGGAATCCTTTCACTGCGTGGTTAAATGTCTCATAACAGCGCTGTCCTCTGTTTCTTCAGGCAGCGTCGGAGACGCAGAGTCGGCTCTCTCTCCTGACGTGTACGTGTCTGACGACGGGGGCTACTCGTGGCTGTTGGCTCTCAGGGGCCCCCACCATTACGCTATACTGGACTCTGGAGGGCTGCTGGTGGCTGTGGAGCACACCAACTCACCTGTCAACCAGATCAAGTGGGTATAACTAAGTATAGTAGATGACGTGGTTATTGTAGGATTGCTTATATTATTATGTATCATTTGTTAGTTTTACTGTTCTTTTTTTTTTTTTGCTTCATGGGCTTTCCTCTTCCTTTCTTTGCCCTCCCACATCGTCAGGTTTTCAACAGACGAGGGGCAGTGCTGGCATACGTATAACTTCACCAGCGACCCACTTCACTTCAGCGGTATGGACAGTGAGCCCGGCTCTCGCTCCATGAACGTTAGCCTGTGGGGCTACAGGAACGACTTCAGTAAATGGGTGGTGATCACCATAGACGTCAGGAAGCTCCTCACCAGAGACTGTGAGTGTGTCTGAGAATGTGGGTGTAACGGAAAGTGTTTCGCCTTTTGACTTACTTATATATGCTTGTATGTATGTGCAGGTACTGAAGGGGACTATGTCCAGTGGCTGGCTCACTCTACAGACCCCAGTGGATCTAATGATGGCTGTGTGCTGGGCTATAAAGAGACCTTCTTACGCCCGAGGAAAGACTCTGTCTGCTGGAACGGGAGGGAATATGCCGTCACTACGAAGCTGTCCCCCTGTACATGTACAATGGACGACTATCACTGGTATGTTTTTGTGAAATACAAAAAAATATATTTTATAGTTTATTTTCATCCTGCATTTAGTGCAACCATGAGACTATATATAGGGAACATATTGACACAGTTTGTCTCTGTAAATTTGTAAGAATGCCAGATGAGCTTCTGTTTTGTCTTACAGTGACTTTGGATATCACCGGCCAGAGAACAGCTCAGAGTGCATGGAGCAAGAGGAGATGAAGGGTCATCCTCTGCAGTTCTGCTTGAATGGGACCACCGAACAGCTTCAAACCAGCGGGTGAGGACGCCTGTTTTTATCTTTGCTCTGTCCTCTGCTTTACTTTTAAGAAACTCAAACGTATGCAAAATATATGAAATGTATACAGAAGTATGTTCATGTTTGTTTCAAGTCTTACCACTGTATGGTTAAAAGGTTATGGGTTTTATGAACAGCACACAAGCCAACAGCAATTCAGGCACTGTAAGAAATAGTCACCTCACCAGCTCACTTCCAGAAGCCTATTACAGATTATTAATTTAAGATTAAGTGCCGACTGTTGTAGGACTTCTGCGTGATTGTCCTGTGAGGATGTAGTTCATTAACTAAAGAAATACAAAGCACATACAGTAACACAGCCCAAGTAAAGGCTTCCTCAGTTTAGTCACTAGTAGTGTAAAAGATAAAGATCAAAGGTCAAAGCCAATTATGAAAACTTGAGCTTTATTCATAAAACATGTTAGTATGTTTCCATGTCTGCCTCTACATCTCCCTCCATTAGTATTATGAATCTTATCTTGAGTTGAGCAGCTGTTTTGTCTTGCCCCATGTCCTTTTCAGTGAGTTTTGTTTTTCCTTACTTTTCCTTTCCTTACATGTCTCTCTGTCTCTTCTAACATTTAAGCTATCGGAAGATTCCAGGAGACCAGTGTGAAGGAGGTTTTCAGCCAGACAGGAAGGAGACAGACCTGAGGAGGATGTGCACCAGCAACGCCCTTTATCCAAATTCTCTGGTAAGTTCTGCTCAGTCTGAGAATGAGACTATGCTGGTTAACTGCATATTGAAATCAACCTATGATCATTTTTTAATTGTCGATACTGAGTTGGTTATCTGGTAGCGGTGTGACATGAGCCAAGTTTCTAACCAAATGTTTTGCAAATCTCAACTGAATTTTTATAAAATCTGCAAAAGAAAGGGAAAAATGTATGTTTCCATCTACGTAATGCAAATATTAGGAGTTGGTTGCATCGAGATAAACAGTTGTTGGCCCTAATTCTCCAGCCGCATGCCATAAAACCACTGTAGAAGAAGTGAAGCGGTTAAAAATTTGGAAAATGGCATTTATGTTTATTACATATGTTCATATGAGGAAGGTTACGGTCTCCTCATCAATCCACATAGATGGTATGTTTTCGTCTGCCGCAATTTTTCAGTAGAGTGGAAGCTTCAGTGAACGCCACATGCTTCATGGGTGTCAGGATTTATACATCTCTCAAGGCTGTTTCCATTGTACTTTGTAGCATTTTGCTTTTTCACCTCAGCCAAGCACAACAAGTTTTTTTTATTTCCAGCATTTCCACTGAAACGCTCAAATTGAAATAGAAACAAGTGGATGGAGACACATTTATTGTTAGAACTTTGGTAATCTCAAACACACTCAAATGACCTGAGTATATCAGTTTTCAGGGTTTTTTCTTACAACCTGGACTCCTCAGGCTCCTGAACAAATGCTGTTGTGCAAACAGAAGCATCCACTTATTCACAAAAAGAGGATAAATTGCCAATGAAGCATATTTTACACTGAGGCTGTCCACCTTCCACTGGTGCACATAAGATTGTGTGAACAGCTGCAATGTTCCAGGTCCTGATGCACGATGTCAGATTTCAGCCATTTCTGTTTTTTTGTAACTCTTACCAGACGGAGAACAGTTCACCGAACACCGCTGTCATAGTGATGGTTGTCATAGCGATGCTTCTGACCAGCGCTGTTGCAGGCGTTTGGCTGGTTAAGAAATATGTCTGCGGAGGACGGTCAGTATACGTCTCATCTTTCCACACACACTTTATGCACACAAGTAAACGCTGTGAGTACCATATGTCATCTCTGTTTGTGTCTAATATGCACTGATGTCGTCATCAGGTTCCTTGTGCACAGATACTCTGTCATGAGGGAACATGTTGAGGCTGATAAAATAGAGGGAGTCGATGACATCGATGCTCACTACATGGAGACAGGAAAAGCACAGTACAACGAAGACTCGGATCAGGTATCTCGTGCTTTGTAAAGTGCACTATTTTTAGGTAAACTTTGTCATTGTTTTTTTACTAATCTGTGTTGTTGTGTCTCTCCACAGGACCTCTTAGAATAAGGTGGACGTTTGTCCTCTCAAAGGCTCTACATTGAACGCAGTCTTTCATGATGCCCGGGGACTCCTGTTGCTCCCACATGCTGATTAACATCTGCTTCTCACTTCTTGCTATCCCCTGGTGGCTGGAGGACTCAACAGCAACTCACATTGCTTCCTTGTAGCAAGTTGAGTCTCCCACAAAAAGGCGAACCGGTGGTTTGGGGAGGGGGACAAACCCAGCGCGAACAGAAGAAAGCCTCTGGGGTCCCTGGAGAGCTTTTGTTGTTTCTGTCACAAAGAGTCCTGTAAAGACCACTGAGTCTAAATACGTGCTCTGTATGTTTCCTCTCATGCTGACCTGAGAAGATATGGCCTTTCATATTGTGATGAACTGCAGAAGCACATTAGAGAGGCTAGATGTATAGACGCTTGCAGAAAGTTTTATATAATAATAATAAGAGTTGGGGAACATCCAAGCAACAGAACACAGACAAATATTAATCAGTATATTATCTCTGCTGTCAGTTAAGTAGTTTTTGTACTCAGTAAATTCAAAACCAGTTGTGCATGGCGGCCATTTTGACATTTATTTTGTCAGCTTCCCCAGTGACTAAAATTTGGCACTAACATTTTTTTAGAGACGAGGCTACTCTATGAGTTACCTGTTAGTCACAACTTATTTAGAAGTGATCACAGCGGCTACTAAGAGCAGCAGTGTTAGGGTTAGGGTTGTTTTTGTTTTTACCGTACACATTATATACTTTTTTTCGCAGTTGAAATTGACCAGAATTTTAATCAAATGATGAACTTCAGATATGAACCTTTCAGTACACTATTATGGCTTTTTGTACTTAACAGAAATTACTTTTTAATTAGTTCTTTTGTGTTTCACACCACTTTTAAAAGTAGTAGATAAAATATAATCATGACTAATATTTTATTAGTCAAAAGTTGTTATTCGTACATATGTCATAATTTTTGTTATCATCTTTTTATTTATTATGAATTGGTTTAAATTTGTAGATGAGCAAACTAAAATGTAATTGTAATCAGAACATAGAAATTAGTGCAAGTGCTGCACTTACCAGATAGTAAAAGCCAAATGAGTGACTGCTACTCCTTGCTTTAGAAGAACTTGTAATTATATCAGCTGCAAGATGAACTATGTCGACTAAGAATAAAACAAGTTCATTTTTAGTACCTATTGAGACTTTTGGAATAAATGTTGAAAGGGCCTGCTATTGTTGTGAAGACATAACAACAAACACTTTTTTAATACAGTGCAGCTTTATACAAGCAGTATCTTCTCTGTGTGGTGAACATGAAAGACTTGAATTATTGCCAAAGCACTTTTATTGTTTAGTTCTCTTATTGTAGAGGTGAAATCTAACCTTAGCCCAGCATTATATATGAAGTATGGTAATGTAACCCAAACCCTTTACTTGAACTTTATGATTTTTATTTTTTAGCTTAACAAGGTGCACCAATATATTGATGTTCTTGTGTTTATATTTTATTCATTTTTTTTTATTTGGCTGATATTTCCCCATATCAGTCAATACCAATATGCATTTGTCTAACTATCTTAATGCAGGTTCAGGCGTAATCATCAAGATAATCAAGTGTTTTTAGAGACCATGCTGGCCTGACCTGTTACTAATATGACAGCAGAAAAACAGTCACAACATGCTGTTTGTACGGCTTCATATTAGCAGTATGAACATTTTCAGAATTATACTGAAACTGCTTTTTTAAAGCTACAATTAGTCTTTTGTATATTTTGGTGCATCCCAATTTAATAATCACAGATGTTACAAAACATCAAACAACAACTAATTTATCAGATTAACGTGTCTGGTGGCCATAACGAGCATTAACTTTATTAAGTTAATTGAGTTACATATTTCTTCCAATAGACACTTCACTGTTTTATATGAACTGTTGAGATGTTGGCTGGCTACCATTTCTTTTATCTGCAATGTAAGAACTGTAACTTTTGACACGTGCAGGTCTTTTGGCCAATGCTTGTATTCTTCAGCAGACTGAGTAATATCCCAGCGAATAAGCTATTGTAATAAGCTGGCCTGATATAGAGGCATATTTTCAAGGACTGTTGGCTGGACTTTGTCAGATATGAAAGCAAATTAATATGCTTGATGCTTCTTTGTTACACAACTGTCAGTAAGAACAAACCCAGCTATATACTTCAGATATCATACTTTAAATTATAGATTTAATGATTTATTTTTGCACTGTATCTACAGATCTGTGAAAAGTTGCATTTGCGCTTCCTTGTACATCAAATGTTTGTAAAGTGTTCGGGCCGTGAGTTGTGATCTTCATTCCATTTTGTTTTCTTGACCGTTTGCTAGAATATCAGAGATGAGTATCTCTGAATTAAACTATTCTGTAGCACAAATGTTTTATAACAATGTTTGCATTTATTGAATGAAATAACACAATCTCTCTTCCATCCGTTCAGTCGGTTTTGGGTTTTGTTCATGCAAAATTTATATAAATAAAGAAATACTTGATTCCAAGTCAAGTCAATATATGTAAAGTATGTTCAAAGCAAAATACAGCCTACTAAAATGTAAAAAGTACAAGTCTCCATTGCGATAATGTGGTTATCTTTATCAGTGTTTTATTACTATTAATGGGTGAGAAGATGTAGTTCAATTGTCTTTTCTGTTAAATATACTGCTGGTGGTGTTGTAACGTTGAAGGAGGAGGAGGAGGATGCTCCTTCCTACAGTATGAAGCTACACCGAGGTAATAAACAATGATGAAACAATCATTATAAATGAAGAACGTGCAGTTTTGAAATATTTGCATTAGTTGCTTACTGAAGATACTGATTTATCACTGACAACTTAATAGTGTTAACAAATATTTAGGATAAAGTTTTGGTGCCAAATAATTGGTTTTCATTTATTGGACCATATGACCACCGATATCTATTTCACAACTTATTTAGCATTTATAAATGGAGTAAAAACATATAACTGCATTAATACCAAATATAAATAATAAATACTAGCAAGATTTTTCACAAACTGGTAACCAAAATATGTTACGTCATTATTGACATAACTAATATATTTAACATTAGTTACTGATTTATTAACCAAACATAAAGCCATTAGTTACAATTTAATAATATTTTCAAGAGGTGCCACTGACATGGATTGCTGTCACTATTTTTTATAAAGTAACACAAAACGTTACGTTAGTCAGCCCATGATGCCGCCGTAGCGTTCATTAAACACTAGGGGGCGCCACACTCCTGGCCTAAGTAATTGTCCAGCCGGAAGTTGTTCTAGCCATATTCATCGTTTTGAATCTATAGTTCAGCTATGCTAACTGTCTGCTGTTTGTTAGAGAGAGCTAAAGTTGAAAATTAACGATTTATTAGCTATATGTATACCTGCAAGATGTCGGTTAGTTGTTAAGGCCGCGGTGCGCGTGGAACAATGTAAAGTAATGTCAACTCTTTACGGTAAGTTCATCTTCAACGAACGTATTGTTCAGGAACTAGATAGCCAGCTAACGGCAGCTCCGTCGTTACGTTAGCTAGCTAACACGTTTGCTAGTAACGAGAGCAGGTTTTCCACCTGCCAACGTTGACGTTACACAGATGTTCCAGTGTAACTGCCGGGCAGTAGCTTGTAATAGTTGCAATTGTGTGCAATTTTTTTTTATTGCTAACATTTCAACCGTTCTTCAAACGTTACGCTAGCTCGGCTTTTAAGGAAGTTTGGCCTTGTAATTTGAAGACAGTGGTTAACTGTCGCAAAAGTAATGGTGGAGTGGTGTAACTCAACCATCCTGCCTGTCAAGCTAGCGGATTCTGGTGCAGTCTTTTACGTTTTAAACAAATTAGACCAACGACATTTGACGTTGCTTAAACTGTTTTCGTCTCTTAGGTGTTGCCATTAAATGTAACGTTGTTAAATAATTCAAGTTTACAGTTAATTGTCAATTTGGCCTCGTGGGCGTTGGTATTACGTGTACAGTCTAAGTGAAGACACCAGTGTTTTGTGATGGTGGTAATATAGATGATTATGATGATGATTGGGAATTGGAAATCTGATTCATCTGACATGTTATGATTCTGTATTTCAGACTTTGTTCGTTTACTATGAACTCCCTATCAGACCAGCTTCCGGCATCAAGCACATCATGCAAGACACTACCTGGAGATGGAAATCAGGTACACTTAGAAAATAGAAACCATGTCGTCTGCTTTGCCTATCAATTATCCAACCTTGCACTTCTAGTTCATATTAAATCCTTACCGGTGGTACTCTTCTTTACCCCCCAGGTACAACCAAAAGCCCCTCTTCTGCAGATTCTGCGTGTTGCCGGAGCGCAGGAAGAAGTCTTCACGCTCAAAGAGGTGAGCTGTTCAGTGAAATGTCAAGTATGTTTGTTCGTATGCAGCTTGTTTTACTAAAGTGGTCAGTCCAGGCTTTAGTAGTCTTTTATACTGGGTTCCTATAAATGTGCCCTGTATGTGTCTTGTGGTTTCTGATATTCAGTGTTGTTGTTGTAGGTCATGCACTACTTGGGGCAGTACATCATGGGGAAGCAACTATACGACAAACAGAGGCAGCACATAGTCCACTGCCAGGACGACCCTCTGGGGGAACTGCTGGAGGTGGAGAGCTTCTCCGTCAAAAATCCAAGGTATTCCCCCACATCAACAATGGTCAACACTCATTAATGCTTCACTATACATCTAAACATATACGTCTAGAATACAGAGGCCCATTCTAAATTCTCATATTCGCATTTCACAGCCCGGTGTATGAAATGCTCAAGAAATACCTGGTTGTGCTTGGTTGTTCTGGTAAGTGACACATTGATTTTCTGCTCCATATATTTATGTGAAATAATGATTCTGTCTGGGGGAATGTATGTAGTTCAGTACATGTGTGATGACTTGTAATTCAATTGTCGTCTTCCTCTTAAAGTAGTGATTGGATTCTGTATGTTATTTGCTTCTTTAACATATGTTTTGAAGTGAAGATCCCTGGGTATATAGTGATTATCTATAAATATATTCTACATCCAACTTTCTTTTTGCCTACTTTTGTGAGTGCTTGTGATAGTTTTTGCATCTCTTGGGGATGCGGGGACCAGAACTATGCCATTGTGCAGCTTGTCCTACAAAAGCCCCAGAAGGAGGCATTAGTGTGAGAGTGTATTGTGCTATAATTAAAGGGTGGGGATGTCCTTTTTCTGTTACTGTGTCTCATCTGAAATGCAGACGCTGCAGAGAATCTTTCTGTGGGCCGTGAATGTGTAGAGGGCGGAGTGGAGGATCGTGGTCAGGTAAAACCGAAGCATGGTGCTAAGGAGAAACAGAGTCCCCCCAACCTTTCTCACCTCACTACAATACAAAGCTGTTAATAAATAATATATTTTTGTCATAACATGCACTGATCCCAGTGCTGGATTGAGACCAGTAGGCCTTGGTTCAGACTATAAAGCGAACGGCCGTGTGCTTGTGTGTAATGAGGAGGAAGGGTAAGGACTGCTGTCTTCGTTGGTGTGCATTTGTACAGAGTGGCACCGTCTCTGTACAGCCCCATCCTTGGTTTGGTCTGGTGGTACTCCACCAGCACCACCCAGTGGATGGGGGGCAGAGTCACCCTCTCTGTCTGTCTCAGGGTTCTCTTCTCTGCTCCGAAACTGGAGGATCGCAGCTCCTGATCCAGCCGCAGGCCGAGCAATAACCCCCCCTCCCCCGTGTTCCTCACCTGTCTTTCCGACCCCCTCCTAAACCACCTTGGTGTGCAAGACTTTGTCTAACCCTTGTTGAGCTTCAGTCCAATTTTGGTCCTTTGTCAGTGGCTTTATGAATCAAATAAGTTACTATATTTCTAATTAAATCTCATGTTAAATCCACTTCAAGGTTCAGATTTAAGTTCTGATCATACTTCAATATGTTTTTCAAAAGTCTATATTTCCTCTGTCAGCTGTTAATAATATTATTTATGTTGGACATGAGATGCATCTTAATCATTTTCTTCTGTTTCCTTTCTTATCTGAAAGCCTTCCATAGATAGATACTGTACAAGACCAGGTATTTTGTATAGTATCTATGGATCTCCTAAAATAAGTAATTACTTAAATCCTTTGATTTAGTTTGCACAGACTACATATTAGAACAGTTTTACTGAATTGGAACTAGATTTTTAAAAGCTTTGACTCACTAGTTCATCACCGTGTTAATTAGTACACTGGCTTTCCTATCTCATCTGTCTCTATCCATCTCTGTGTTTTTTTACCCTCCACACGGTTTTGGTGTCCTAATTATATCCTAAATTAGTTATGACCTCCCTCCCCACTGGTCCGTACCCTAACTGCCCAGCCCCCTTCTCCCCCGATCACATACCGAGAGGCCATCTTGAAAAGGAGCTGTGAGTCCTCCAAGAACCCAGTTATGGCTCCCTGTTCTAATGTTTGTCCTTCACGTCCCCGTCCCCCCCTTAGATGTGCGGAGGTGTGGTCAAAGCAGGGCTGGAGGCCGACAGTGATGGGCCTCTCCTGCAGACCCCCTCCCAGCGCCGTCCTCGGGAGCCAGACGACGGTAAGCAAACGGTTCCAAATGTGCCCGGGACGAGACTCGCTGAAAATACTGAATTTAACGGTTCAACGCCTCTCCAGACTCCCTTGAAGGCCTGCCACGGTCAGCCTGCAAACGGCCCAAACTGGATGTTTCTTTAGACGAGTGGGACCTCTCTGGTCTGCCCTGGTGGTTTCTGGGTAATCTCCGTAGTAATTACAGCCGCAGGAGCAATGGCTCCACCGACATTCACACAAACCAAGTAAGAAACCTCATTTGTAATAGCTCGTTCAGGGTTAGGTTGCGAGATTTCAAGCTTAAAAACAGACATAATTACTTGTTGTCAAATTGCATGGATTGGAGTGTAACAGTGGTGGTCTGACTGATGGGTCAGCTGTCTCCCGCACAGGAGGAGGACACGGCCATCGTGTCGGACACCACCGACGACCTCTGGTTCCTGACCGAGGGCGGGAGTGAACAGGTGAGTGTGGAGATGAAGGAGGCGGGACTCGAGGAAGGGAGCGCGGGAGAAGGGGAGGCTCTACCTGAGGACGAGGATGAAGGAGGGAAGGAGGAGAAAGCAGATCGCGAGGTACGACTTTGTCTCGGACTTCATTGGCCAGGCACACACCACATATCATTTTTAAATATGTGTATTTACACTCCAGGATAATGTTCTGAGATGTTTGATCTAACGACTTGTATATTTATCCAGATGCTGGAAGAGCCGGATGAAGACTCTCAGTGCCTAAGCGATGACACTGATACAGAGATCTCCACACAGGTTTGTATCTGCTTTTTCCTCACTTGCTGTTATTTTAGGTTTTGATTAGCTGTAGGTTAAGACAATGCAGATGTGTGACTTTGTGTTTGCCTCTGCCCATTAGGATGCGTGGCAGTGCACTGAGTGCAGAAAGTACAACACGCCTCTCCAGAGGTACTGTGTTCGCTGCTGGGCTCTACGTAAGAACTGGTACAAAGATGTCCCCCGACTCGCCCATTCCCTCTCTGTTCCTGACATCCCAGCATGCAGCTCTCTGACCACCAACGATGAGGAAGATGACAGTGACACAGGCATTGACATCCCAGACTGCAGCAGGACGGTCTCTGACCCCGTCATCCTGCCCTCCCACTCCACAGCTGACCGCCCACTGCCCACTATGGCCACAGGGAAAGGCAAGGGGCCGTGGCCCTCCGGCTTCCATAAGGACGAGCAGCTCTCGGGAGGGGAGAGTCAGGAGAACCTGGGCATGGAGATTGAGGAGGTTAAGCCTGAGGCACTCCTGGAGCCTTGCAAGCTGTGTCGAGTGCGACCACGCAACGGAAATATAATTCACGGACGCACGGCTCACCTTATAACCTGTTTCCCATGTGCAAGGAAGCTGCACAAGTTCCATGCTCCTTGTCCAGGATGTGGGAAGATCATTCAAAAAGTCATTAAGATATTCATCCTCTAAAAGGGACACACACACACACACACACACACACACACACACACACCTGTCAGGCTCTGGGGAACTCAACAACACAAACACATTTGACCACACGGATGCATGCACTCTGGTTCACACTCTGCTCGTAGACACACACAAGATGTGCACCTTAAAACATACAATGATACACATGAAATATAGCACTTGGTGAAGCTTGCTCTTGGTTGCATGTTCTATTCTGCATCACGCTGCCTCTGAAGTATTTTGGGATGAAACCTTGGACACAAGAGTTTATCATGCCAGATTGGTGCCACATTTAAATAAGGGACATATAAAGAAAGGCAGACGTATTTATTTATTTATTAGAAGAGTGCACGTTTATGTGAGCTATTTGGTTTCATGAGAGCTTGTTTTTTTTCAGGCCGTGGATCTTCTCATTTGTTTTTGAATGGTGCCATTTTAAACTAGTATTGCGGTCTTTAGTTCTGCTAGTTTTTCCTTCCTCCATAGATTCACTTCAGTCATCTGGACCGAAATGGATAGATCAGTCCAGGTATTCAACTACAATAATATGTTTGTAAGCATCGTCTGTTATTTTGTTATGTATATTTTTAACCGTTCTCATATCCTCTTGTTGCTCTGACATTTAAGTTATGAAGACAAGATTGAAGGAAGAACAGGAAAACGGTGATTTTGTTGTCAATGGCTGCAGCTCCATGAAAGTGTCCTAAGCTTCTAACAAAAAGAGAATTATTAGCATAATTGAATGTACTGTAAAATACTAGTGATGGTGGCTTAAGTCCTGTTTCTCTCAACATAGTATTTTAAAATGAACTTAATTGAACCTGCTTAAGAATGCACAGCTGAAGTATTTACTGTACTTTCCTCTCGGGGTAGTAATTTGATGTTAATATGTATTCAATATCTTATTTACGATTGCCACGCCACTGGTGACAGTTATGCCTGCAGTAAGTTATGTTCTATAATTGTTTAATGTTTAAATGTTACTGTTCAGAAAGAGCTACTTTACAACCCTTCCTGAACGTATGATAAATGAACAACTTCTGTATATTTTGTATTTAATTAATTTATGATTTAAGTTTTGATTGATTGGATGATCGCGTCTAATGAAGCAGGGAAAGGCTGCACTTGCTCCAGAGCTCTGTGTACTTTTACAGAAAATCTTAAACTAAACTAAATTACTAAATGTACCGTGTCAAAAAATGACTGGAGTACTTATTGGGAGTTGGAGGTTTTATTTCAGCGTTACACTGCCATGTAATGACTTAAGTTGTGTATTATAGATTTTATTTTGATGGATTATTTGAAGAATGTATTGTTGGACCACGTAGAAACGATTTACTCAGTAAGCGTGTGAGCTGCCTACCAATACCACCGGCTCTGCAACGCTCGGTGACACGAAGCATTTACCTCTCGGCTCTGCTCTGCAGAGAGAGAATGTTGCAGATCTTTGATCGGATCTTCACTTGCGTTTAATCTTTCTGCCAGCAGGTGGGGAGAAGTCTGAATATGATATCTGGTCTACAGTACCAGTAATAACATGTAACGCATATATAGAGCATGCCTGCTGTCGTGACTAGATCCAGCACTGATCTGGTGTGAGAGCTATATTAACTATATAAACACTATAATAGGTTAATTATATAGGCTGTTGTACTTATCGCCATAAATGTGCTTCGAGGAAAAACAAACTTCTTACTAAAGACATCATAAAAATGACTTGGCTTGCATATTATAGCCTTGATCCTTGTTTAGAATGACTGACTTGTTACAGGTATTGGCATTAAGAAACAGCTAATGTAGTTTATTTTCTCTTTTTTTTAATGAACCTGTCATGGAATGAAATGAGTTGTTTTGTAAAGCAATAAAGAGTTAATTGTTTCATTGAGTTCACTCTGTTCAGCCACTAGTGAAGAGATGTGTGTGTGTGTGTGTGTGTGTGTGTGTGTGTGTGTGTGTGTGTGT